TATATGTATATAATAAAGTGTATATGATATGGCTTTTTCAATATCACACACCGTATTAACCCTCAACCAATATAATCCCTCGAGCAGAGCTCTTGGGATTATATTGGTGTCTCGGGTTGATACGGATGTGATATTGAAAAGCCATATGATATTCACTATTTATTTGACTTTTTATAATTTGAATATAAGTTTTAGTATGTTATAAATCAAATATGAGAATTTGAGTTAAATCGGTGAAAATGAATTTGACAGCTTATGCCCCTTTTAAAAAAAAAAGAAAGAAAGTTTCCTTTTTAGCTCACCTGGCCTAAAAGGCCAAGTGAGCTATTCTCATCACTTGGCGTCCGTCGTCGTCCGTTGTCGTTAACTTTTACAAAAATCTTCTCCTCTGAAACAACTGGACCAAATTTAACCAAACTTGGCCACAATCATCATTGGGGTATCTAGTTTAAAAAATGTGTCCGATGACCCGGCCCGCCTACCAAGATGGCTGCCATGGCTAAAAATAGAACATAGGGGTAAAATGTAGATTTTGGCTTATTTCTCTGAAACCAAAGCATTTAGAGCAAATCTGACATGGGGATAAAATTGTTCATCAGGTCAAGATCTATCTGCCCTGAAATTTTCAGACAAATCAGACAACCCATTGTTGGGTTGCTGCCCATGAATTGGTAATTTTAAGAAAATTTTACAGGTTTTGGTTATTATCTTCAATATTATTATAGATAGAGATAAACTGTAAACAGCAATAATGTACAGCAAAGTAAGATCTACAAATAAGTCAACATGACCAAAATGGTCCCCTTAAGGAGTTATTGCCCTTTATTGTCATTTTTTAACCATTTTTTGTACAAAAATCTTCTCCTCTAAAACAACTGAGACAAATTTAACCAAACTTGGCCACAATCATCATTAGGGTATCTAGTCTTTAAAAATGTGTCCGATGACCCCGCCTACCAACCAACATGGCCGACATGGCTAAAAATAGAACGTAGGGGTAAAATGCAAGTTTTGTCTATTATTTTTCGAACCTTAATAAATAGAGAAAATCTGAAAGGAGCAAAAATGTTCAGAATAATGAGCTCTACCAATTGCCTATTTATTTCAAAACTGTTAGACAAATTGTTATAGGAGTTATTGCCCATAAATGACAAATTTTACCATTCTTTTTCATTTTTGCCTATTATCATGACAAGAGTGCACACGCTGAAATGTCTCGCCTTCTTTACTAATCATTGATATTATGTTGATTGTCCTAAATATAAAGCTTTATTACAACTGTCACATAAACTTAACATTAACCATTTCTAAACATTGACCAATGAACCATGAAAATGAGGTCAAGGTCAGATGAACCATGCTAGGCAGGCATGTACAGCTAAAAATTCTTCCATACAACAAATATAGTTGACCTATTGCTTATAGTTTAAGAAAAACAGACCAAAACACAAAAACTTAACACTGAGCAATGAACCTTGAAAAATGAGGTCAAGGTCAAGGTCAAATAAAACCTGCGTGACTGCCAAATAAATCATAAAATATTTCCATACACCAAATATAGTTGAACTATTGCATATATTAGAAAAAAAGACCAAAACTCAAAAAACTTAACTTTGACCACTGAACCATGAAAATGAGGTCAAGGTCAGATGACACCTGCCCGCTAGACATGTACAATCATTCCATACACCAAATAAAGTAGACCTATGGCATACAGTATAGGAAAAACAGACCAAAACACAAAAACTTAACTATAACCACTGAACCATGAAAATGAGGTCAAGGTCAGATGACACCTGCCAGTTGGACATGTACACCTTACAGTCCTTCCATACACCGAATATACTAGACCTATTGCTTATAGTATCTGAGATATGGACTTGACCACCAAAACTTAACCTTGTTCACCGATCCATGAAATGAGGTCGAGGTCAAGTGAAAACTGTCTGACGGGCATGAGGACCTTGCAAGGTACGCACATACCAAATATAGTTGAACTATTGCATATAGTATTAGAAAAAAAGACCAAAACTCAATAACTTAACTTTGACCACTGAACCATGAAAATGAGGTCAAGGTCAGATGACACCTGCCCGCTAAACATGTACACCTTACAATCATTCCATACACCAAATATAGTAGACCTATGGCATACAGTATAAGAAAAACAGACCAAAACGCAAAAACTAAACTATAACCACTGAACCATGAAAATGAGGTCAAGGTCAGATGACACCTGCCAGTTGGACATGTACACCTTACAGTCCTTCCATACACCGAATATACTAGACCTATTGCTTATAGTATCTGAGATATGGACTTGACCACCAAAACTTAACCTTGTTCACTGATCCATGAAATGAGGTCGAGGTCAAGTGAAAACTGTCTGACGGGCATGAGGACCTTGCAAGGTACGCACATACCAAATATAGTTATCCTATTACTTATAATAAGAGAGAATCTAACATTACAAAAAATCTTAACTTTTTTTTCAATTAGTCACTGAACCATGAAAATGAGGTCAAGGACATTGGACATGTGACTGACGGAAACTTCGTATCATGAGGCATCCATATACAAAGTATGAAGTATCCAGACCTTCCACCTTCTAAAATATAAAGCTTTTAAGAAGATCACTATCCCTATGTCGCAGGCTCGACAAAAACTAAGATATTTAGAGAGAAACATTTTTTTTCCGTTTTGCCTTATATGATTTAAATTATAATAGATAAATAAACACTTTAAATCGCAAAAATGGTCAGCAAGGCAAGATCTACAAAAAAAGTATTAAAAAGTCAAATTTTGCTGAAATAATAGTAGACTGTCACTCTTCATAGGAGTGATTGCCCTTAAATGAGGATTTTTTTACCCTCTTTTGTGTTATGAGCAAAAACTAAAGATGATAGAGAGAAACTAAACAGAAAACTAAAGATGATAGAGAGAAACTAAACAGAAAACTAAAGATGATAGAGAGAAACTAAACAGACTAAAAGATCAGTAATACAAGATCAACAAAATAGAGATTTTTGTCATGAAGTCTATTCTCGTCCACAATGTTGGAGAGTGTCCTTTGTTTGATATGCACATAGACCAAGGTGAGCGACACAGGCTCTTTAGAGCCTCTAGTTATTAATCTTAACAATATGATTAAGTTTTGAGCAGAGCTATATGTGAAATGTTGCCTTAAATCTGACAATTAAAGTCTCTTTACTCTAGAATAACACAACAACAAAATTTCAAAATCGAAAGGAAGCATTCTTCCTTCAATCCCTATGTATTGCTAAAATTCCATGAAAACTTTTAAGCACATTTGAGTTATTGTATGACATGTTGACAAACAGACAGATGTATTTAATCTTAGATCCATGTTTTTTTATTATTTTTTTTTGACTTTGAACTAGCTTTCAGTAACTGTGAGTACTCTCAGATCTGTACTTTGTGTCTTTTTGTTTTTGTTAGGTTTTTTTGTCCTCTGTATCGATCTGATGAGCTCAGCCCTTTTCAACCAACTTTTATAGTTTGTTCTTATGTTGTACTGTTACACTACTGTCCCAGGTTAGGTGGAGGGTTTGGTGGCAGCAAACATGTTTAACCTAGCCACTTTCTATATGTACCTCAGGGATGGGGTCAATTACATTAGATTATTTTTCTTTAAAGTAATCATGTGCTCTGACCATTTTTATATCTTTTATCATTTCTACAAAAACACAAAAATTGGTAAAATAGTCTTTTAAGGACACTTAACTCCATCGTTCCATTTTATGTTTATTGTATATTGAATATGATTTATTTTGGGGTACTCTAAAAAATGGTTGAAAAAACTAGTAGACATATATATCATTATTATAGCCTGAATGTATATAAATGGTTTAAAACTATTGAATAAGTCGAAAAACTCTGGACAGTTAACTCTTTATCTACCACTGACGGATATATACGCAGTTTTTATCATCGTTCTGTCTGCAGTGACTGATAAATCCGCTTGCATAATCAAGCGTGTATTCGTATTGACTGATAGATCCGCTGTAAACACACACTTGCGCAGTCCCGGTGACTGATATTTCCGTAAAATATACCACTGTTAAAACCCTTCAGATTGGACAAAACTGTTTTGAAATGAACCAATGAAATTAGGTTTTACAAATGAATAATCTTTCAACTCGTACATTCCTTTTCTATAAAAAGTGTGTGTTTACATTTAATTATGATGAATTTTACACGTGTTAGGAATGCGATTAAAACAATGGCAGATGAATGGGCTTCTTTGTTCAAATCGTATAGCGAAAGTGAAGAATTTGAAGGATTTATGCAATTAGAAAGCAAAATTGGAAGTACAGGAAGGGATAATTTAGCTTGTCGGAAGAAGATTGTGAGTCTTCCGAGGATGAAGAAGCCAAACATGGACAAATAATTTGAAAACTTTTTATGTCCGGCAGCTTTCAAGCTTGATAATGAAAAGAAAGAAACTGATTTGGTATTTGTTTCATTTTTCAATTAATATATTAATTAAACATTTAATTAGAGTACTCATAACACAGCCTTAACAGTTTGTGAAAAATTTTCTCACTGCAAATTATCTCTGGTAGTTAACCTACAATTCAGCTGCAGTAGCAAACTAATCAGCTATGTGTAGTAGTGAACTGTAAAGGTACCTGTGGTAAATAAGAAGTTAAGATAACATATTTATTTTTTCAAACTTTCCAAATTTTTTTTTCAAGCAGTCGCTGAACCATGAAAATGAGTTCAAGGACAATGAACATATGACAGACGGAAACTTTGTAACATAAGGTATCTGTATACAAGGTACAAAGCATCCAGGTCTTTTTTTTTGAAGTATAAAGCTTTATACAAACAGTTTATGCCGTCACAGACAGATTGTAATCCCTAGGTCTCGCATTCTGAGACTTTCATCGCAGGCGAGACAATAAAATTACCAAGAGAACTAGTTTCTGCACATGTAACTAACTAGCCACAACACTGCATGAATAAAGAATACCTACCCTGACAGATTGTACTGCTGCTGGACCTCTTAATTCCCTCATTATCTCTATTCCTTTGTCAGCTGCTAGTGAGGAATCAAGTTTCATCATCAATGCTGCAGCCACTGAAAATTAAAAAAAAAATCACATACTATAAATATTGTCACAAGTAGCCACTAGCCTTTGGAAATTTTTTCTGTGATAACAATGTCTGAAATTCACTTGTAAATTGAAAAGATTACAGATTAATAAAATTACAAGGTAACGTTTTTATATACTGTTAGGGAATCTTTGTAAAATATGACTGGACTAAGCAGCTGTTTTGTTTAATCTTCAGGTTACATTTCATTCATGTAGTCAAATAAGACAACTATAGTCCAAGAACATAGTCTATAACTGGTGTTTAAATTAAAGAAAAAACAATTGACAAATAGTTTATACTGTTACTTACAGAAACATGATCTTCCAAGACCTCCATAACAGCTAAAAAAATCATAAATTACTACAATATTATTGTTGTGTAAAATCTCATTGAAAAATGTCTTTTAATATAAAGGTGTACATTAAAGAGAATCTTTAATTTCTTGTCATGTGGTCTTCAGTATGCACAAAGACAAGAAATTAATTATTAAATAATGGGTATATATAATTTAGGTGTTATGGCTTAAATGAAAAATCCATTTTACCATATTGGATGATACGATAGCCCAGACAATTGCTATCTAGTCTTTTGTATTGAAATGTGAGTTTATACATACATCCTATTCATATTGTTGATAATATTATCCATCATAAATTATCTAAAATTTTGTGATATTATATAGTTTTTTTGGGTGTCAAGAAATAATATGAAATATGAATTTTTAATTTCTTATTAAAGAAATTAGGATTTTTAACCTACAGATTTGGTTCTTGATCTAAGGGCTGTTCCAGAATTAAATGTATGGGTGGCACTTTATTACTTATTAATTCTTACAAAATTCTGAGCAATATGCAACTTCCCATATTTAATTAATATGAGTGCCTCCCATCCCCTCACCTGATAAATTTTGGAACAGGCCTAAGAAACAATGAGAATTCTATTGATCTTATTGTTTGCTGTTTTGTTGTTATAATCTAACAAGTGTTTTTTTTTTAATCAATGTTTACATTTTGATTTTGGTAACTTTTTGTGTACCCTTTTCATTTAATTGTTTCTTTGTAATACATGCATTTCTACAATTTGTTGGTTTTTAATTGCATGTTCTAGCTCAACAAACATGACAAGGACCATGGGTGTTTTAATTATTTGACATTCCCAGTTTTTGGTGGGGTTTGTGCTCCTTAGTCTTTAGTTTTATATGTTGTGTTTTGTGTACTGTTGTTTGTCTTTTTTGTTGTTTTTGTTTTTTATTTTTTGTTTTTTTCCATGGCATTGTTAGTTTGTTTTAGACTTATAAAGTACCAATTAATAATTCAAAATGCTGTAAAAAAAATACAATTTAGTAAATTAAAATCATTTGCATTCATTTGTGTAAACTTTGTAACAAAATCTCCATATTTATTCATGGTATAATTGTCGTATTTAAAATAGTAAATCAAATATCTTAACTAAAGGCACCAAGGTTCAATTGACAAGAGCCTTTACTTACTGTATAACAGTTTTTCTTCTATTCATGAGTAAAACATTAAGGTCATCAATGATTTTGACCAGATCACTGGTGCTAGGTACTAGCCCATCGGGAAAAGGTGTATGATGTACAGTAATGCCATTATCTTGAAGCTCTTCTAATAACTTTGGAACTCTGTACTTGTTTAGTTCACCTTTACTACACAGACAAAAAAGTTCCTTCACACCTTCTGACACAAGACATTCTAAAAAATAAAACATCACTATCTAATTGGGCATGTTTTAATTGAAAAATACATTTATAAAAGATTTTTCTTAAAATATGCTTGTTTCTAGTGGATTAAATTAGCTATTTTTTTCTCTCAAAATAACACGTTGTCAAGACATTTCTTTAGAAAAATATTGATATATTTGATATTTATCAAAATATTATTTTATTCAAACTTCATAAGCTGAATTTCATTCTCTCAAAGAATTTATATATATATTTCAACCTTTCAGTATGTTTAATAATTGTTACAGCAATTAGAAAGTCTTGGCTTAAGTCATATGCATTGTAGACCTGTGGCATTGACAAAGAGTATATTCCATATTTTTATTTTAAGTTTTCAACTATACTTTTTTTCTTATATTTAAGCTTAATATTTCACAGCTGTGCATACTTATGTCATTTTCAAGACTTCTCCATATGTCTTTAAATCTGCAACCTAAAATTTAAAAACAAACAATTAGTAGATAACATACATGACATAAGCACACAAAAAAATAAAAACAAACATGAAGAAAAGGATCAATTGATTGGTGTTAAGCACTACTGGCTAATTGTTACGGTCAGTATTTATTGGTGGAGGCAGGAGAAAACCACTGACCTTAGGCAGAAAAACTGACAGTCCTTGTCAATAAAGATTGGAGTTGAACATAACTGCCATGTGCGGGGTTCGAACTGAAAAACGGATATGTGGTGTATACTTCAATGAGACAGCATTCCAGCAACACAATTAGCCAACATTCAACATACTATCTTCAACAAAAGACAGGTGTCTACCTATACAGCATACCAAGCTCTTAATCCTTTTGAGCTTATGAAAGTTGTTAATAAATTTAGCAGTGACTATCCAAGATCTATATAAAGGCCTCATTTACATTAAATTATAAGTTTTCTACTGTACAAAGTCCATTCATACAAAAACAACTAGAGGCTCTCAAGAGCCTGTGTCGCTCACCTGTATTTACTGATGCTTTGGAAATCATGTAAATATAGGTTAAAATCATAATTAATAGTATTAGATATTAGATATCATAATGACATCTAAGATAATAACAAAAAACTGCAAAAATTTTGTAAAAATTACTAACTCAGGGGCAGCAACCCAACAAAGGGTTGTCGGATTCGTCTGAAAATTTCAGGGCAAATAAATCTAAATCTCATGAACATTTTTGCCACCTGTCAGATTTGCTCTAAATGCTTTAGTTTCAGAGATATAAACCAAAAACTGCATTTTACCCCTATGTTCTATTTTTAGCCAAGTTGGCCATGATGGTTGGAAGGCGGGGTCATCGGACAAATTTTTCAAAACAGATACCATAATAATGATTATGGCCAAGTATGGTTAAATTTGTCTCATTAGATTCAGAGTAGAAGATTTTTGTAAAAGATTACAAAAATTTACGAAAAATTGTTAAAAATTGACTATTAAGGGCAATTACTCCTAAAGGGGTCGACTGACAATTTTTGTCATGACAACTTATTTGTAGATCTTACTTTGCTGAACATTATTACTGTTTACAGTTTATCTCTATCTATAATAATATTCAAGATAATAACCAAAAACGGCAAAATTTCCTTAAAATTACCAATTCAGGGGCAGCAACCCTTCGGGCCAGGTGAGCCTAAATAAGTATAGCAATTTCTTTTTATTACCAAAAGTAATCACATAAGGACAAAATCTGTGATGCACAGTCACTGAAATGTCTAATCAAAGGAAATAAGAATACACATGGTTAAGGGGTTATAATTAGAACAATTTTTCATGTTTTTGAGATACATGTATTAAAGAATTTATTATATGAGGGCTACATTAACATGATAAAGCAATGACTAATCAGTTAACCACAAGGTTACAATCTGCAGGAAGACATCAGCCTTCTTAGACACCTTATTCTATCTCTCTACAGGAAGACATCAACCTACTTAGACACCTTATTCTATCTCTGAGCAAACAAATCTTTGCTATTACTTTTACCAGTAAATGCTGTTTGATTGGCAGGGAAGCAGAAAATACCAAATTCACCTTGAGGCAATGTTCACACCAATTAACAACAATTATATTTCCTAATTGCCACTGACATGATAACTGTATTAGGGATATCTGAAATTTAACCTCAATCAATTGAATTTTCAAGTGTGGCGGACAATAAAATAAGCGTGGCGCTAGAAATTTAAGTGTGGCGCACCGCCACGCTTATATAGGTCATGGTGATCCCTTGCCAATTGCAAAAATTTTTGTTTGAATTGGAGAGGATCATACCAAGCTAGCACCCATGGTACTTAAGGTAAATATGCAACCACAATACTTCACATGACAGCATTGCAATATAATCATGATAACGAGAGGAATGTGAATAACTCTTGTAAAAATGGTTGAACCAAAATTATGGTAGAAATTAGTCAACTATATATGATTGCAATACCATATGGTCAACTACACTTGACGGCAAACAATCCTACTACATGTAAGTATCAGAGTTTTCTATCAGAGATGTGGTACAGGGTCACTGTGGTATAATCGTCCAAAAAAGGTCAAAGTCTAATAACTCCCTTAAAATAGTTGAATCAAAATGATGGTACAATCCAAGAATGGATTTTTTTCTATCAATCTGTCTTAGAGGAGTTGCCTTCATAAGGGTAAATTATTATTATCTTACCAAGCATGAAAGTTTTCTGTCAAATGGTCTCAGAAAATTTGCATTCACAAGGTGTCATTGTGGTTTTTGACAGATGGACGTACAGACCAGCTGATTACATTAGGCCTTCTGCACATTGATCGACAGGGCCCTAATAAGGTTAAAGAAGTTAAGTAAAATCATAAAAGTTACATATTGTTTCTTTTGGTCTAACTTTCGAATGTATCACTTTGTTTTAATAAATGATAACAGAAGTAAGCAGTAAAAGATATACATGTAACAACAAAGGCATATACAAGAAATCTGCAACTCCATTTCATTGCTTTCCAATCTATTGAAATACCAGATACAGTTCTCAATTTTTCAAACCATCTTTAATTGTAATGGCATACATGTATATTCCTTCTATTTTTTTGTATTTTTAGAATGGATGGAAAATGTTTGAAAAATGTATCTTTTAAAAAAAAGATTTCAAGAACAATGAAACTAAAATATTTACAAAGTCACAGAAAGAGGTATGCTATTTGTATGGTTGATGCTTCTTTTTTTTAATTTTTGATAGTATAAATATTCTGTTATAAAACATGGAAATCTAAGACTTTTTAATAGAGTATTGTAGGTATTATTTATATGTTTTGGGGGATTTTTTTAAGGAATTAAGTTTTTAATTCATACTTTTAACATTTTCAATAAAACATGAGTGCAATGTGATAAAAAAACAATCCTGACCTGGCAATGCACAAATCCCAACAGGTTCATCACATCCTAATGAAGATAAATCCAACCTGCAAAAAATAGACATCCACAATTATGTTAATACAAACAAACTGAAACAACTCATCTTCTTAATTTATTTTGACTAAATAATATATTGAATGTCTTTGACATCAAGCTCTACCATGTCTACTACTTATATGTACCATTAAAACTTAATATTAATTGAATAAACACCTAAAGAGGTCAAATGAACCATGCAAATTGTACACTTTTCAATGATATTGTAAACAAATCCTACTGGTTACCGAAACTTTATTTTTCTTTGTTTAAATAGTTGTTTTTATAGTGATTAAGATGATACATTGGAACACAATGTTGACTGCTGTACCCAAATTTTTGACATTTTACCTATTATGTCCGTTTGTTTTGCTCACACATTGTTGTTTTAAAATATAATGGAATTCTATATGACAATCATAGAAGTGAGAGGTTAAGCTAGCTATAAAACCAGGTCAAAAGGAAATGCCTGTACCATGTCAGGAATATGACAGTTTTTTTCCATTTGGTTGATGTGTTTGAGCTTTTGATTTTGCCATTTACATATAATTCAGACATAATCCTTATGGGAGATTTTAACATAAATTGTTTACAACCCAATAAAATACAACAAAGATGGTTAAATGCTCTAGAAACTTATAACTTTCAACAGTTAACAAGAAATGATTGTAACAGGATGCTGTTACGAAGTCTCCCAAACGAAGCTCCCATAATTCGTAATTCCCAGGGTCGCCTGACATTGGGCCACATCCAGTGAAAATTGGTTTGGTCCAGTAAAGTTATATGCATTAGTGATGCCTGGGGACTAACCTTGTATATCATTCAAATCATCTTGGCATGACAAACCAGAATATATATGGTTTAGGGGTGGGGATCTCGACCATTTACAAGATACTAGAACATTTGGGGTGGGGAGGAACCCCTGGGGACTGGCCCTATACGTCATTCAAATGTTCATTACATGAGGAACAGGAATATATATGGTTTAGGGGTGGGGATCTCAACCATTTACAAGATATAAGAACATTGGGGGTGGGGGGAACCCCTGGGGACTGACCGTATACGTCATTCAAATGTTCGAGACATGACAAATAGGAATATATATGGTCTAGGGGTGGGGATCTCGACCATTTACAAGATATTAGAACTTTCTCAAATGGCAGGGGGTCGGGATGACCCCTGGGGACTAACCCTGTATTTCATTTGATGTGCTTTATCATGACAAACCAGAATATATATGGTTTAGGGGTGGGGATCTCAACCATTTCCAAGATATTAGAACTTTCTCAAATGGCAGGGGGTCGGGATGACCCCTGGGGACTAACCCTGTATATCATTCAAACCATCTTAGCATGACAAACCAGAATATATATGGTTTATGGGTGGGGATCTTGACCACTTAGAAGATATTAGAACTTTCTTAAATGGCAGGGGGTGGGGGTGACCCCTGGGGACTAATCCTGTATTTCATTTGATGTGCTTTATCATGACAAACCAGAATATATATGGTTTAGGGGTGGGGATCTCAACCATTTACAAGATATTAGAACTTTCTCAAATGGCAGGGGGTTGGGATGACCCCTGGGGACTAACCCTGTATATCATTCAAACCATCTTAGCATGATAAACCAGAATATATATGGTTTATGGGTGGGGATCTTGACCACTTAGAAGATATTAGAACTTTCTTAAATGGCAGGGGGTGGGGGGTGACCCCTGGGGACTAACCTTGTATTTCATTTGATGTGCTTTATCATGACAAACCAGAATATATATGGTTTAGGGGTGGGGATCTCGACCATTTACAAGATATTTGAACTTTCTCAAATGGCAGGGGGTCGAAATGACCCCTGGGGACTAACCCTGTATATCATTCAAACCATCTTAGCATGACAAACCAGAATATATATGGTTTAGGGGTGGGGATCTTGACCACTTACAAGGTATTAGAACTTTCTTAAATGGCAGGGGGTGGGGGTGACCCCTGGGGACTAACCCTGTATTTCATTTAATGGGCTTTATCATTTAGAACATTTTCAATTAAAAAGATTGTGTCTATCACAAACGGTTTTCAATTTATAATCATTTGAAAATTTTTAAAAATAAAATCCCATAGGGTTCTATAGTAAAACCCTCTTTTCTTTTTGCCCCTCAAAGTACCCCTTTATAAACCTCATTGCACAAACAAAACCCTGATTGCACCACTAGACATGTTAGTCTAACATATTGTGAAACCCTAAGTTAATCTGACAAGCGGTTTTGGAGAACGGGTGCGGACAAGTTCAAATTTAAAAGCGGCGGAAGAAGAAGAAGAAGAAGAAGAAGAAGAAGAAGAAGAAGAAGAAGAATAATAATAATAATAATAATAAGAACTGAGCAAAAACAATAAGTCTTCCCAAACTTCGTTTGGGAGACTTAATTAAGGAACCAACCAGAGTAACAAATGAATCAAAAACTTTGATTTACCATATATATGTCACCCATTTAAGCATTGTTAAAGAGGCTTATGTTTCTAAATATTCTATCAGTGATCACTATCCAATATGTATGACAAGACAAGAGAAAATGTATGATAAAAAACATACTCATTCAACAATCACTTATAGAAATTTTAAGACTTTTAATGAGCAAAATTATTTAAAAGTTTTAAAAAGTGCACCTTTTCAACATATTGAATTTGAAAATGACCCATTTGTTTGTATTGAAATTTGGTACAACATTTTTAATAACATTTTAAATAAACATGCCCCTATTGTGAAAAAGAGGGTAAAAAAAGACCGACAGCCAGAATGGTACAATAAAGAAATCTCATATGCAAGAAAAATGAGAGAGAAATATAATTCACTGGGAATGTGGGCCGAATATAGATTCTGGAGAAACAGAACAAAACATATTATTGATACATCTAAACAGAAATATTACAATGATATGATAAAAGACTCAAAAGATTCTAAAACACTATGGAAATGTATTCACAGTCTAAATCCATCTAATCCATCAAAACCACATTCACTTATTGCAACCGGAGACCATATAACTACAGATCATAAAGAAATTGCTAATGAATTCAATAATCATTTCACCTCATGTGTTGAACAAGAGTGCACACGCTGAAATGTCTCGCCTTCTTTACTAATCATTGATATTATGTTGATAGTCCTAAATATAAAGCTTTATTACAACTGTCACATAAACTTAACATTAACCAAGTAAACTAAACATTGACCAATGAACCATGAAAATGAGGTCAAGGTCAGATGAACCATGCTAGGCAGGCATGTACAGCTAACAATTCTTCCATACAACAAATATAGTTGACCTATTGCTTATAGTATTAGAAAAAAAGACCAACACTCAAAAACTTAACACTGAGCAATGAACCTTGAAAATGAGGTCAAGGTCAAATAAAACCTGCGTGACTGACATATAGATCATAAAATATTTCCATACACCAAATATAGTTGAACTATTGCATATAGTATTAGAAAAAAAGACCAAAACTCAAAAACTTAACTTTGACCACTGAACCATGAAAATGAGGTCAAGGTCAGATGACACCTGCCAGCTAGACATGTACACCTTACAATCATTCCATACACCAAATATAGCTGACCTATTGCATGCAGTATTAGAAACAAAGACCAAAACTCAAAAACTTAACTTTGACCACTGAACCATGAAAATGAGGTCAAGGTCAGATGACACCTGCCCGCTAGACATGTACACCTTACAATCATTCCATACACCAAATATAGTAGACCTATGGCATACAGTATAAGAAAAACAGACCAAAACACAAAAACTTAACTATAACCACTGAACCATGAAAATGAGGTCAAGGTCAGATGACACCTGCCAGTTGGACATGTACACCTTACAGTCCTTCCATACACCGAATATACTAGACCTATTGCTTATAGTATCTGAGATATGGACTTGACCACGAAAACTTAACCTTGTTCACTGATCCATGAAATGAGGTCGAGGTCAAGTGAAAACTGTCTGACGGGCATGAGGACCTTGCAAGGTACGCACATACCAAATATAGTTATCCTATTACTTATAATTAGAGAGAATTTAACATTACAAAAAATCTGAACTTTTTTTTCAAGTAGTCACTGAACCATGAAAATGAGGTCAAGGACATTGGACATGTGACTGACGGAAACTTCGTAACATGAGGCATCCATATACAAAGTATGAAGCATCCAGGTCTTCCATCTTCTAAAATATAAAGCTTTTAAGAAGTTAGCTAACGCCGCCGCCGCCGCCGCCGTAGCCGCCGCCGCCGCCGCCGGATCGCTATCCCTATGTCGAGCTTTCTGCGACAAAAGTCGCAGGCTCGACAAAAATGAAGGCATAGCAGGGCACCAAGTTACTCAAATTTTAATACTCTGACAAACTATGTACAAATGAAATTCTTAAAAAAAAGGCACAACAAGTTCATCATTCCTCCAGTAAAAGTTTCAGAACTATTTGATGAAATAATTAAACTAGATGTAAAGACATCTTCTGGTTCTGACAATATAGGTCCAAAAATTTTAAAACTGAGTGCTCCTTTCATAGCATCTTCCTTAACATACATTTTTAATCGAATGATTGATACTGGTATTTATCCATCTGTTTTAAAAAATGCCAAGGTAGCTCCAATTTTCAAATCTGGTGAAAAAAACATGATGCAAGCAATTACAGACCAATATCTGTTTTGCCAACATTATCAAAATTAATAGAGAGACATGTATCTAAACATCTGTATAATCATTTGACAAAGTTTCAAATTTTACACCCTTCCCAGTCTGGTTTTAGACCTAACCATTCATTTCAAACTGCCCTAATTAATATCATTGATAAATGGCTACATGAAATGAATAATGGAAATATCAATTTGGCAGTCCTCCTGGATTTTAAGAAAGCTTTTGATGTTGTTGATCATGAAATTTTATGTAAAAAACTTAAAATTTATGGCTTTCATGAAGGTACTGTTGATTTTTTTAAATCATATTTGAGTGAAAGAACACAGCAAGTCCATATAAATAATCAATTTTCTGATAAAGTTTATAAATTTTGGTGTTCCACAGGGCTCAATACTTGGTCCCATTTTGTTTGTTTTGTACATAAATGACCTTCCATTACACATCAAAAACTGCCATACAGACTTGTATGCTGATGACACAACTATGCATACATCAGGAAAGAGTATTGCTGATATGCAATTAAAAGTACAAGATGATCTCCAATGTGTTGAAAAATGGTGTCATAAAAATAACATGTTCATAAATTCAGATAAGACTAAATGTATGGTTATAGGTACAAGACAAAGGCTGCGTTTAAATCAAGCAGAACCAGTTCTAACTATTGAGAATAATATTCTTCAAAAATCATCAATTGAAAAACTTTTAGGTGTTAGAATTGACTCTAATCTGTCCTGGACAGGCCATGTTAATTACTTATGTTCATCAATATCATCCAGACTTCATTTACTCTCTAAAATCAAGAAATTTCCAAATATTGATTCAAGAAAATTGTTTTATAATGGCTATATTCTCCCACTGATAGATTATTGTTGTATTATTTGGAGTGGTTTTGCTAAAAATGAGCTAGTCAGAATAATAAAATTGCAGAAAAGGGCTGCAAGACTTATTTTAGATGCTGATCCACTTTCATCATCAGCTCCACTGTTTAAACAGCTTTGGTGGATGACAGTAGAGAACAGAATCTCATACCACAAATCTGTTTTGATGCATAAATGCCTAAAGGACGAAGCCCCTGTATATCTCACTGAAAAATTTAAAGAAATGCCAGAAATAAACCAATATTGTTTGAGGAATGCATCTTGCAAAAATTTACAAGTTCCAAAAGCCAAAACAGAGCTGTATAAGAAATCTTTTATATATTCAGGATCTATTTTATTGAATAACTTACCAACATCCCTGAAAAAATCAACCTGAAGTACAAGCTCATTCAAAAAAGATTTAAAAAACTACTTGTTGGAACATTAAGAAGCTGTGCAATTTTATATGTATAATAATTTTCACACACTTACTCAAACTTAAGATATTGTTGAGGTAATTTGAATGGTGCCAGTACTATATGAATTTGTAATTTTTACCCGTTTTGAAAATTGTATATTTCATAACAATTTTTTATTTCATTTTTTCATATATGTGTGTTTGTTTAATATTTTGTAATTGTTTGTTATATTTCATTGTATTTTATGAGGGCCTCAGGGAAGATTAGTTTTATAGCTAACTGTGTAACCCTCTTTAAATAAAGAATTATTATTATTATTATTATTATTATTTGATAAAGGACTATCTGTTTTGAATTTCCCTTGAAACTCTGTATTTTTGTTATTTTACATTTTGGAGACACCAAACCAGGTACTTCGTATCTGCGAATCGGGCAATATATGCCCTCAGTTTTATAATTCATTCATACATTGTATTATTCAAAATTATCAGTCAAAATGTGTTCTTCACCTTTCATTTGATACTTAAATTACCAAAATATATTCTACATAGTCTGATATTTACACCTATGTGTAGGAACTATTTTGTTTTAAATATGTACTACTTTCAAGTATGTTTTTTTTTTACCGGGATCGATCTGGTGGTGTTACATCTTACAAAATCTGCAAACATGTGAACCTCCCGACGGGAGTACAATAATCCCATTTCCAGGGGTCTCCTCCCGACCTCCCGTTGAAGAGAAAAAAATCCCGTGTATGAAAAATTGTCCAACATATCATCTGGTGTAACTGACATTACCTGAAGTTATATTTTACCTGTAAATCAATTAACATGCATAATTATATGGCTTCACTTGTCAGCTTGGGTGTCAAACATACTGGTAATCAACAATTTTTACCTCAGGCTAACAGACGTTGTGTAATAAAAACTGTGTGTATTTATTGGGTTACTTCCCTTGATTTATCCTGTTTTAAGTTACTTTCCTTTAAATAATGAAAATTGTTAAAAGAATATAAATAAAATATAAATTGAACAAATAATCATAAAAGGATGGTAATTAAATGATTTCAAATGTCTTAGGACAAATAAAAAAATAATAATTTGAAAATTATTTAAGGGTTCTATACTTCCTTTTAAGGCTTAATTTGAAATTTATATAATAACTATGACCTAATTCAGTAGTCAGATTGAGTTTCTGAATATGCAAATAAAAACTAATGCAATTGCAAATAGTCAAACAAATGTTCTGATTGCAATGATTGTTCTATAGATTAGTGATATAAAAGATATGAATTTAAAATTAAAAAAAAAAACTAAACTAATTGCAATTGCAAATAGTCAAACAAATGTTCTGATTGCAATGATTGTTCTATAGATTAGTGATATAAAAGATATGAATTAAAAAATTTACAGAACATACTAAAAAAAAAGAATGTTAGATTGAACATGTAGAATATAAAGATAGAGAATCTTTATAAGTACAAGGGTACTATAAACATAATACATTCGGATGGAAAGTTGAAGTTAACACACTTTAAAAGACAATTTTTACAGGACACGGTTACATTTACGACAAAATTTATGTCGATTAAAAACCTCCTGATCTGAGTCCTAATCTCCTGACCAAAATTTCCCAATCTCCTGATCTGAGTTTCACAGTCCATCACATGAATGAAATCTATCCAAATTATTTTACAAAGAATTCCGCTCAAGCAGATGCTAAGGGCTGTCTTAAACTTGCAGTTAGGTGAGAGTGTTTTTGCTCTGTGTTGAAGACCTCGCTGTGACTTTCAGATGAAGAACAGCAATAAAAACGCTGCACCTTTGCTTTTTGTGTTTTTTTTTTTTGCTGTGCATGTGCTGACTTTGAGTTATGGATGGATACCCAATATCCTTAGTTTTTCTATTATATTAACAGAGTTTGTCTCTCATGCTGTGTGGAGGCCAGAGAAAGTTTCCCTGTGCTTGAGACATATGCTCTTCTGTATTTTTAAATTGATGGTGTATTTATTCTTGAGATAACTTCTCATATGTGTGCTGAATCATTCACTCAATTCTAGGCCAGTTTGTGAACTAAATTTTCAATCAGCACACCACCTATCCTTGGCCTCCATTCCTTTCCACATTAAATTTTTTGCTTTCAAACATTTATGGGGCGGGATCAATAGTCTAGGGGCCAGATAATACCTTTTGGGAAATTTCTTGGCCTGGAGCTGTATTGACTATTGGCCAAATAAGAATATCGCTCCAGATGCAGAAAGAATCCCTAAAGGGATTAGGAGCTGGATTGGTTTGGGGCCAGAACGAGCTGATACCTATATTCATTAGGGATTCAAACAAAGTTGTGGTTTTCCGATCTGGGCATGCTGATCATTAGTCCAAATAATTATGACATCTTGAAGTTGAAACTCAATGAAAGGCTTTTATAATTTTTTTCTGTGACAACTTCCTTTCATCGTAGGAAGGTGTCACAGAAAAAAAATCAAAATAACCTTTTAAGACATCATAATTATTTGGACTAGCTGATCATATAAATCGTTCCCTGGATTGCAAAATCCTTAAAACTTAAATTAAAAGCAGAGACATATATACACATGTGTATATATGTCTCTGTTAAAAGGAACCAAACAGAAATTCTTCATACCAAGAAATGGTCAAAGGTGACATATCTAATTCGCCTTGTTCATCGTCTGACGAATCCAAAATTGACGAACTTTGTGATTCTTTGACAACTTTCATTATTTCTGTCAATTTTGACATGTGAAAATTCATGTCAAGTAAGATTTTCGAAGTGTTTTGAAATTCCCGCTCTAGGTCATTTTAGTGTTTCTTTCAACGGGACGCTTGTAAAAGAGAAAAGGTAGCCCCGAGTTCTTTTATATATCACAAGTAATGTTTTGAGCTTGAAATTCATTTACATCGTGATTATTTGAAGGAAAAAATTGTAAAATTTGCTAAATTTAGAAATATTTTATCTAGAAATTTAGATTTCTTGGAATATTTTATGGTGAATCGTTTTATTTTTTACGGGACTGGTTGCATCTTTTTTACCTTTCTAGCACCTGTTCTTAGAAACGGGAAGATGGAGGTTACAGATGTAAACAACCAGAAGTTATTTTATTTTATGATATGAAAATGCAATTCAAAAAGGTTCGAATTATATTTTTATTATGATTTGAATGTTTACCATATTGTATATTAGCTGACGATGGATACATACATGTAGATCAAGAGATTCGTATTGGAAGTTTTGGTAACGAGTACACCACAACTCGTATCGTAAACCTTGCTTATAAACTCGTACTCAACCAACTCGTACAATTTTTGTAGCATTGTTATGTGTCATTTAATTAGATAAATCGTAAACTTAATGGTAATTTTGTATTTTATAATTAAACTTGTCCTGAGACAGTATAATTTGAGAATGTAATCCCTTTTGTGATTCTGTGTCAGGGGCGATTTTTCTGATTTGGTCACATCTTAAATTTTACATTAATGTTAGTTATAGAACCTGTAAATTTACATACTATCCAATTACACATATTTATCTTATGAACAAATTCATACCTAAAGATTAAGATGTTTCTTTTTTGGTTCTAACATTGACCTTGCTTATAATAATGATACATTTAAATAATAGATATAGGAAGATGTTAGTTATAGAACCTGTAAATTTACATACTATCCAATTACACATATTTATCTTATGAACAAATTCATACCTAAAGATTAAGATGTTTCTTTTTTGGTTCTAACATTGACCTTGCTTATAATAATGATACATTTAAATAATAGATATAGGAAGATGTGGTATGAGTGCCAATGAGACAACTCTCCATCCAAGTTACAATTTATAAAAGTAAACCATTATAAGTCAAGGTATGGCCTTCAACACAGAGCATTGGCTCACACCGAACAGCAAGCTATAAAGGGCCCCAAAAAATTACTAGTGTAAAACCATTCAAACGGAAAAACCAACGGTCTAATCTATATAAAAACGAGAAACACGTATGAACTACATAAACAGACGACAACTACTGTAATCAGATTCCTGACTTAGGACAGGTGCAAACATTTGCAGTGGGATTAAACGTTTTAATGGTACCAAACCTTCTCCCTTTTCTGAAACAATAGTATAACATCACAACATAGAAAAACACACTATACAGTACGCACAGAGAGTTTGTAATCGCGAATTTCGGAGTGTAGCGGTGTCACACCGCGAATCACAGATTATTCTCCCAATTTCCTCCAAAGATTCTCTCCCAACACCGTGTGGCTGTTAATTGGTTTATTGCCCATCGGATGTACTGAAAATTAATGACGCGTGACAACATAATCGGATTAGCCAGATTTATTACCTTTGTACATTTAATCGATCTTGATTGCGCCTGTGTGCTTTAAAACACGGTATTAAAATTTCCTTTCTTTAACAGATAAGAATGTGACATTTTCATTCAAAATAAGATAATTATTCTTGTATGTATTTGCCCCATGTCATTGTCATTTGAAATAAAACGTACAAACGTATAAAAATACGAATAAAACATTTATTTTGTATTTTTATTATAGTCTGGACAGGTCATAATTTTTGTTTTTTCAACAAAGACTATTTTACTACAATTAGAATCTTTTATGACCTACTCAGTGAGCAATATCTGGTTCATTAATTGTTCAATATATAAATATCAACTGGCTTAAAACAAAATGATGTTTTTACGGTAATTTGTCCAATCTAAACCCAAGAGTTAATTTATCGGATCATAGATGTATAAACCCATGATCGGATCAACAAGTGAACTCTGTTACTTTCAATTTATTTTGCAATGTAAAATATTATGTTTCACTACCTCAGTAGATTACCGACTTGAAATATTTGAACTCAGAAAAGAAACTGTAAAGTGACAACTCTGTTGAACGAAGGGAAAACGTTTTGTATGCAATGTGCCCTATATTCATAAAAACACAACACTGAGAGACATTCCCTGCCCAGACACAACACAATAATCACAACCTAATTTAATTATATGAAGAAAAAAAAATCATGTGTTGTTTATCTCTGTTATGATCTGTTATTGATCCTTTATTATTTAAAATAAAATTGGATGGGCGCAATCCATATTTAACTGCTCGTTAAAAGTCCTTGGTGAAATTTAAAAAAGAAGTATTTCAACAATTAATACTATAGAATATTTAAATGAAATTATATCGTGTTCTACAAGAAAGAAATATGTGAAAAAAATGTGGATCGGATTTTTACGATCTACACATTTTCACAGAGGATCTCTACCAACGCCCAACAGGAACTGAACGACATGCATCCTGTTTTCATCTACCATTTATGTATATTGTTGACCATGGACGTATAAATATTGTCCAGGTTTATGTCCTGTGTTGACTGAGAAACGTAAAATTAAAAGGCTGGTGTTCGTTTATTCAGAAAAGGATTATATTTTAGATTCCGGTTAATCAATTGTAAAAGGACCTTCTAGAGCCTCAATCTTAAGGCATACAAATGTCAATCATTCCAAAGCAAATTTAAACCCCGAATGAATTTTCCCACGGTCATCCAGAAAGGTCACCTGAGTTTACTGTTACGTGATAATGTTTCCCGCCAAATAAAAATCTCGTGGACAAAATTGATGTCACTATTTTTAGCATTCAATATTGTGAGCGAAGTCAAGTTCAAAGTTCAACCACGGGCTGTTGATCACTGAGATGGGTATCGTCTTCCCACAGCAATTAATTTCTTTAAAAAAATTTAAAAATCACTGTCCTTTTTACAACACACAAGTTTACATTCATTGTGCGTAAATGAATATTATGCAACGACGAGTTGATGCAGCTATAGAAGTATTCCTGTTGTAGCCGAAATGTAATTATTTATCCTAAAGTAATGCCAACAAATCGTAAAGAGAAAATGCCGTAGACTTATTAAGCATAACGAATGGTGAATAGTATTTTCTTTTTTACTTGCATATACAAATTTTGAGACACGTAATTTTCTTTTAACTGCTCACTTTTATATTCAGCGTTAGTTTCCGTTTATTTTTACGCAAGTATGTCTCTTTTCGTAAATAAAATAATTTACCGATGAACTTAAACAAGGTCAAAATCAAGTATAGTTTTTGTTATAAAACTTCAATGCAATTGAAAGAATTAACAACAACATTCTGCTTTTAAATCTTTAATTTGTTTCAAGCAATTATGTAATCGTAAAATGAAAATGGCGTGGACTTATTACCATAAGGAATAGTGAATAATATTTTCTTTTTTACTTGTATACAAAACTTTGAGACATGTAATTTTCCTTTAAACTGTCCACATTTATTCAGCGTAAGTCTCCGTTTATTTTACACAAGTATATCTCTTTTGTAAATTAAATATTAATTTACTGACCAGAAAAAAAAACGAGGTAAAAATCAAATATAGTTTTTTTTAATAAAACTATTTTTAAATGTACAGTGTAATTGAAAGAATTAACAATGTTGTTTTGCTTTTAAATCTTTTATTTGTTTCAAGCAATCAGAAATATAACCTGATTATCAATAGACAGGAAATACAATTGTTTAATTACATAAGTAATCTCACATACCTTGACTGTCGCGTGCCGGTAAAGATCAGAAGGATTAGGGCAATTAATTACCTGGTGTGACACCGCGTCACACCAGACTGGGAGAGATGTCGCTAATACAATAAACAAAAGGTAGCGAATTTACGCGGAAGTCGGAGGGACTACTCCCAAATTTCTCCGAGAATTTAGGGAGGGATATCGAAGTTTCCTGGTGTCACACCAAGAAAAAACTTGGTGTTCGGAGTTTGGGAAGCCTTTCGTGAAATTTGTACTGTAAAATATCAATTGGAAGGCTTAACTCAATCAAAAAACGTAAATTAACACACAATGAACGAATAAATTTGACCTGTGACACCTGAATGCAAATACACAGTTAATAAAAAATTACAAGGGATAAATAAAGTCAAAAGTAAATAAACAGGTTTAAACAAAGTTAAAGTATGATATCACTGTGAAATTTCAAACAATTTATAGAAAATCATCACTTTTGAAGAAACCTGCGTCATATTATACACAGGTAAATGAAAATAATTTTGTTGTTAAGTATACTTCTTCTTCTGTGTGTATAAAATCTTCCGTTTAGGAATACAAAGAAATTTCTTTAATATCAATAAAGCTAATCTAACACTTGGTACATATGGGGTGAATATCAACAATAAAAATATACAATTAGTGCTAAAAGAATGTATTGTTATACATGTACAGTTATGAACTATTATGGTCCTTATAATAAGGCTGTTTACGATGTCTTTATACTAAATCCACTAGTCCAAATAATGTATGGCTTTTTAATGTAAAGGCATCCAGCAATAAAATATAAAAAAGCCCTACAATCATGACAATTCATCATTTTTATTAGGACTATAAATCCGTTGGATGTGTACTAATTGATTTTTAAGTCTGGGTTTAAGCTAGGATTTTGTGGCCTTTAGTCAGTTTTGCGTGTTAAGAAAATCAACCTTTCTTGGGTAGCAGCTTAACATGATACTAGTAGTACTTAAGTATTTATTGCATAGGGTTTTATACATGAACATAAAGAGTATTTTCTTTTTTCAGTATTTCATAAGTATACATGTACATGTACAAATAAGAATATAACAATTAAGATTAGAACAAAACAGATGTATTTCTTCTGACAAAAGATACATATTGTATGATTTTGTTTTGAATTGTATGTCTCAAAACAGGGCTAATGGGAATAATATAATGAATCTATTGGTAATTGTTCCTGTCCTTATAATTTGCTTATGGTCTGCATTTACTACAGAATAGAGAAAATATTTTAATTCTAAAAATAAAGAATAGAGAAGAATGGGCAAAAAAATGAATAAGAGAGAATAATGGGTGCTTACATGCACAGTATAGAGAAAATTTGTATAAAAAATTAAGAATACAGGAAATGATGACCCAAGCCCCCCTCCCCAACCCCTTAAGGATGTCCTTAGGTGAAATTAAAAAAAATTAGAATTTAAATTGATACTATAAGTCAGAAGAGCATTAGTTAAGGAACAAAATAAGCTAAAAATGTTGATAGGTTATGGAGCTCCTTTTTGAGATTTTTAATTTTTAAAAAATGGCGGTAAAAGGCTGACTCAGACTTTTACCTTATATTTGCATTGGTTTTATTTGGGTCTCAAATCGAAAGAAAAGAAATCTAGAATCTGCTTAAATTTTGGTAAATGACCTTTTTTGAGCTATTGAAGTCTTATATGACAAGAAAAATGGGTGTTATGGGGCAAAATATTTTACCCTGCATCATAGGAAAAAAACCAAGGAGTCAAAACATCTGACAAAAATTCCTGAACCTCACTTAAGTACATCCTTAATTTGCACCATAACTCAAAAGACCTCATAAACCAATAAGTCCTAAAGTCAGAAGTATGTAGACAGATTATGAGTAGGTATTTCAATGGTAGGAAAAATTATAATTGAGTTATCTTTCTTGTATTCAGGTGTGCTTCTACTCTTCGGAGGATTATACACAGTAGAAGCACATTCAATTAATTGCCGCCTGATTTGTTATTCTATGTCAGAATTGACGGCAAACAAAGACAAAATACGTCTATATTTAACAATTTTAGAGAAATTTAAGAAAAACAATGTGTTTGAAAAAGTTCATGAAGGTTTTTGTCTTTCTGTCAATCATGTTTTCATCTTGAAACTACGGTAAACTTGTGGCATGAACAATTTCATATGAACTAACGAAAATGCCGACTGACATATTCTATTTGTATGAATTAATTATGGTGATCATTAATGACCAATAGGATAAATGGATTACCTGTAACAAAAAATTATGACACCTGTTGTATTCGTTGATTAGCTTGGGGTCATAAACTTGTCACTAGGTAAAATTTTGCACTATTTATTTATTAACTTTCACAAATTTAAGTGACGAAATTGATCTGAAAACTTTTGTCATTTTGAAAGTTGCTTCTTAAATGGCGAAAATGACAAGCGCTAGAAAAATCACTATTATTATAAGCTTAAATTTGCTTCAAACTACATTGCTGTGATGTGTACCCCCAGATTGGTACTTTGTGTTTTTGTCTAGCTGCTTAATTTTTGTTTTGTGGTTCTTGTGGATCTGATTAGTCAAGTTCTAAATTTCAGTTTGCAGCGTCGTTGTCTCATATACATCTGGGATATTATATAGCGTCCCTATGTACATTAATCCACATCTCTATTTCATAATTAACATGATAAATTACCACTTAATTAAAATAATAATTTGTTTTTGTTCCAGATCATATGAGTATTTGGACCATACGCATATGGTCATGATGCAAAAACCTTATGGTCTCACCATAAGCGTATGGTCAGACCATTTGAGTATTTACTGGTTTGGTTATTAACAGGTTGGACCCTATAAGTATTCAGACCATATGGGTATTTTCCCAATCAAACTTATAATCCTTTATCTTTGACATATTGTCTAAACCACAGGCATTTAGAACCTTTCTTTATTTTCCCCTTAGTTTTTTTTAGAAAAGAATAGAGAGACAGCAAGTATAAACCACTGTTATTGTAATATTGTTTGAATAGGAGCAAGAACACATTAAATAAATAAATATTGTAATTTGAAATATTTAAGAAATTTTGATTAACTAAAAACAAATTTAAACAGAAAAAAAGAAAAAGAGGGTTCAATGCCTCGCCTATGAGTAAAGCCAATTTTAAGCTGTTGCCTTCATGTTTAATAGTTTATTTAGATATTTCTTAAAGTTATTTACCAAAGTCATTCGTCAGGAAATATCGATAATGACCATGTAAAAAGTTTATATTGCTGAAATCGTAGGTCAACTTTTTATATGAGTGCCCTTAAATTACAATTTTTACCATTTTTTGCATTTTTGTCTATTACCTTCAAACTTAATAGATAGATTCTGACACCTTAAGAAAATATTCTCATTGTTTATCATTAACAAATGGACAATTTTGTGTTAAGGGTGTCTATTTTTCAGTTCGACAGTATCAGACATACTAATTTTTGTTGCGCCTGCAATGAAAGTCGTAGTATGGGAGACATAGGTATTACTATCTGGCAGCATAAACCATTTGTGTAAAGCTTTATATTTCAGAAGGTAGAAGAACTTGATGCTTCATACCTTGTATGCAGATACCTTATGATACAAAGTTTCTGTCTGTCATATGGCCATTGTCCTTGACCTCATTTTCATGGTTCAGCTACTGCTTGAGAAAAAATTTGAGTTTTTTTCTCATGTGAATATCTCACTTATAATGAGTAATAAGATAACTATACTTGGTTTATGAGTTCCTTGCAACGTCTACATGTCTGTCAGACAGGGTTCACAGGGACAAAACTTAAAGGGAGCCCAGTTGCCCATGGCTCCTAGATTTTGAGCTGGGCCCCTAAACTTTCAGGTAAATTTCAGTTGAACATATTATAGAAACTAATTATGAAATATCTGGTCTGGGCTCCCAGCTTGATAATTCCCAAGTTTAGTCCTTGGTTCACCTGACCTTGACCTCATTTCATGGATCAGTGGTCAAGGTTAAAGTTACGTGATAAGGTACGTTTCTCAGATACTATAAGCAGTAGGTCAACTATATTTGGTGTATGGAATGATTGTGAGGGTACATGTCAGTCTGGCAGGTTTCACATGACTTTAACCTCATTTTCATGGTTCATTGGTCAATGTAGGGCATTTCTTGCTGTGTTGAAGACCCATTAGTGGCCTTGGGCTGTTTTCACTCCTTTACCTTAAAATTCATGACTCAAATTTTATTTACATGTAATTTCATCCTCCTACTTACGGTACATCTTTTATGCATAAAATATAAAGATAAATTTGGAAGGTGTATGAAAAAAATTTGCAAGTTAAATGCAGTTTACACCTTATAAGGACTATGTTGTAGAGAACGATAAATCAAAGGAGGATAAATTGTCACCGAACCATATAGATAAGATTACTCCCAAAAGTCAATTCTCTGGATAGGACACAAAAAACTGCACGTTCAAGCATCCCATCAATCTGAGGGTCAAAGAGTAGGTCACGAAATCAGAAATAAAACAAAGGTTGATCAAGGGGTATCCCCCTTTTGGGAAGTGATGGTAGAAGATTTGATTGCCCATGGTTCATTCATCCTTACAATTGTATTTGTTTTACTTATTAAGTTTTTATTTGTAAGTCTTGCATGCTTTTTTAATTTTGGTTCATTTATATGTTTCGGAGTTAAGTGTGATGTCCATTTTCTCTGAACTAGTATATATTTTTGTTTAGGGGCCAGCTAAAACCCGCCTTCGGGTGCAGGATTTTCTTGCTGTGTTGAAGACCCATTAGTGGCCTTGAGCTGTTTTCTGCTCTTTGGTCGGGTTGTTGTCTCTTTGACACATTCCAGTTTCCATTCTCAACTTTATTTACATTTGATATGAATTAACAGAGGTTGATGAGGTGTATTTGTCAATAATTTGAGTTAAAATTATGACCTGTAAAAAGTAAGTCACTGTTCCAATTATTATGCCAATTTGAAGAAGAGGTAATTTTATTAACATTGATTACCATTGTTTAAATAAGTAATTAATCTGATATTGATTTTTTGATTTCAGTTCTACAAAAATGCCATCCTCTATAGTCCCAATCAATCTCACAAGAGATTTTTCTATTAAACCAGCACATGGATTAAGATATGGAAATTTTGAAGGTGTTGTTTATTTACCACCCACAACTAAATACGAGAAAAGAGGGGAACAGAACTTCTCAAAATTAAACAACCAACAAATTTATAAAAAGATATGCGATTGGTTTGAAGTATGGAGATCATGGCAGCAGCAACATTTGTTATGTGGTATAATTGATAGGCAAGTAGCAAAAAATTGTTTCTATATCATGTATATGCTTTGTAATTAACAATTACATAAATGGATATCACATATTTGAACTTTTTGCCAAAACTATTTTGAATATTTGTGAAAAAGAAGATGTGGTATGATTGCCAATGAGACGACCTTCTTCCAAAGAAGGGGGCCTCGGTGGCCAAGTGGTCTAAGTAGTTACTACTGTAATCACTAGCCAGTCAACACTGAGGTTGTGAGTTCAAACCCCACTCGTGCGGGTGCACTCTACTCCAATCTTAATTGACTAGGATTGTCAGTTTTCCTATCGAAGGTCGGTGGTTTTCTCCGGGCACTCCGGCTTCCTCCAACAATAAAAACTGGCCGCCATGAAATAGCCCAAAAGCAGTGCTTAAAAGTGGCGTTAAAACACAAAAAAATCAAAATCAATCAATTCTACCAAAGAACAATTAAATGACATAAAAATTAGTCACCGTACAACCTTCAACAATGAGTAAAACACATACTCCATGTACATTTGTGTATATCAAGCTTTAAAAGGCCTTTACATGACACATGTATATGTAAAACCATTCAAACGAGAAAAATTGACACTGTTAACTGTAGAAGATGGAGAAAAATTGTCAAACAAAAATTATCTGCAGGGCAAGATCTACAAATCAGTCAACATAGCCAAAATTGTCTGTTAACTCCTTATAATAATATAATAATAATAATAAATTATTCATTTAAAGAGGGTAAACTCAGTTAGTTACAATAAACTAATCTTCCCTGAGGCCCTCACATACAAATTACAATACAATCAAAAACAGATATTTACACATAGTTAATTTACAGTCGAGTAGTTCAATGTAATATTGTTAACATGATAAGATATAAAGCTGTTCAAGATTTACATGTAGTCAAAAAATAAAATAACAATAAAAAAAAAAAAAAAAAAAAATATACAAATACTTTGTAGAAAACATAATCTTATCAGGACTGTGTTACATGTAAGTACTTCTTGATACTTTGTTTAAAAGTATAAGTGTTTTGAGCTTTACACATTTTGCGTGGTAGTCCATTCCATAACACTGATCCAGAATAAACAAAAGATTTCTTAAAAAGCTCAGCTTTTGGCTTAGGAACTATCAGATTACCTTGAGTGACATGTACACCTCTCAAGGAGTAAGGATTATTATCTGATTTCAGTTTAAACTTTTGAAATAGGTACATTGGTGCTTCCATACACATACATTTATATAGAAGTAGATATTTGTGGTATTTGATTCTATTGTCAACTGTCATCCACCGAAGTTTTTTAAATAAGGGGGCTGAGGGGGATAAAGGATCTGCATCTAGAATTAATCTTGCAGCCCTTTTTTGGAGTTTTAAAATTCTTGTTATCCCTTCATTTTTACATTCACCCCAAATAATACAGCAGTAGTCAATTAGGGGCAGAATATACCCATTGTTATATGTTTTCCGTGCATTTATATCTAAAAATTTCTTTATTTTAGAAAGAAGGTATATTCTGGATGATATATTAGCACAAACTTAGTCAATTTGATTTCCCCAGTTAAGTGTGCTGTCAATTTTAACACCTAATAATTTTTCACATGAAGAATTTTGTAATACTTTTGAATTTATTATCAAGTTTGGTTGATAAGTCTGAATTGATAGTTTCTGCTATGTTCCAGTAACCAAACATTTTGTTTTATTTGCATTAATGAACATGTTATTCATTTTGCACCACTCTTGAACCCTGTATAAATCTTCTTGAACATCATCATGTATATTTTCTATGTTTTTCCCTGATTTATGAAGAGTGGTAGGAGTTATTACCCTTGAAAAACCTTACACTTTTTACCCATTTTGGTTTTTAGCTAAAACTTTAGAAAATTGAAAGAAACTAAAATATTAAAATTCACCAGCAGGACAAGGTCTGCTATATATATATATATATATATATGAATATAAAATTAAAGAAATGTGGTATGATTGCCAATGAGACAACTATCCACCAAAGTTTGAATGAAGTGGATGTAAGCAATTATAGGCAACCATATGGCCTTCAACAATGAGAAAAACCCATACTGTATAGTTAGCTATAAAATGCCCCAACATGAAAAATATGAATAAATTCAATTGAGCAAACTAACTGTCTAATTTATGACAAAACAATTAACGAAAAACAAATATGACAGACATGTACCAACTACAACCACTGATCTACAGGCTCCTGACTTGGGGCAGGCACATAAAGAATGTGATGGGGTTAAACATGTTTGTGAGAGCTCAACCCTCCCTCTAACCTGGGACAGTGGTGTTACAGCACAACATAAGAACAAACTATAAAAATCTATATGTGATATAATTTTTTTACAGCCAAACTTGCAAACGAAATCTATGTATCTATGGAAGAATTTTGTAAAGGTTTTAAGTAATTTGTGGTAATGAAATCCCTGACTTAATAATTTACCAGTAATACATAGATTATGCTCATTGATATTCAAAACGTCACTACAGACACGGGCAAAGCGAACGAGTTGGGGTATGTAAACACCGTAAGACGGTGCCAAAGGAACATCACGATCAAAAAAGGAAAATTAACTATAGGGAAAGAAAAATCATCCCTGAAGTCAACATGACCAAAACAGTTAGTTACAGGAATAATATGAGTAATCACCCTTTAAAAATGATTTTTTACCATGTTCTGTTTTTTTTTTGCATAAACTATAGTAGATGGATTAATTGATTGTTGATTGCTTAATGTCCAGTGGCAAATATTTCATGCTTATTCAGGATGATATAGTAGATGGAGAGAAACTGTTAAAAGCTAAAATTATTTGCTGGACACAAACAACATATTGTTTAAATCTTCAGTGTACTCCTTATAGGAGTTATAACCCTTGAAGGATGATATTATATTTTTTGTGTGTTTATTTGGAAACTATTTAAAGTATTCTAATTGCATCTAATCTCCTCTGGTTCTGTGTTACAGAAAGCTCACATACTTAGTATGATTGTTTGCAGTCATGTGAAGTTAACAACATTGTAGACAATTTGATCCGACCATTTCACAGGAGTTATGGGACTTCGAGCATTTTTTTTACTATTATGACACTAACACCTTGTAAGGCAACTTCTCAGAGACTGTTTTCCAAAAAGCTCTTATACCTAATACTTCTGTTTGCCATCATGTGAAGCTGACCATATTGTACTGCCATTTTGATTGATTTTTAATATTAGGCAATAACACCTTGTGAACTCAACTCCTCAGAGATTATTTTCTGGAAAGGTCTCATACATAGGTCTACTGTTTGCCATTATGTGTACTTATCTGCCCTGGACACCATTGGCGTGTAGGGCAGTAAAGAAGATCTTCTACTTTTGTTGGTCGTTGGCAGTTTTCTGTAGTGTGGCCCTTGTCTGTTGATGTTGACTAGCTTCTGCCTCTAAAGTTAGCCTCCATATCATTTTGGGTCTTCCAATCTTTCTTTTACCTTCTCCCCTGGTCCAATGGTGTGCTGTCTTAGTGATATCCTTTTTCTCTTTCCATAGGACATGACCAATCCACCTCCAGCGGCTTTTCATTATAGTAGTGACTTTTAACCTTCTGATGCTTTTGGTATGGAATACACACAGTTTGTTTTGGTCCTGACCTGTTATGACCTGTTATCCTCCAACATTCTGATTCATACAAAAGTACAGGCATGACACAGCTGCTGTAAAGTTTGGGTTTCACAACTTTGGTCAGGATGGTATATGACCCAGATCTCCATACAGCCTTCAGGTTGTTAAGAGCTGGCCTTGCCTTAGATAGTCTTCTTTTAATGTCAGATTCTGCTCCACCAATGGTATTATCAGTGCTACCAAGGTATGTGGAGGTTTCAACATGTGGTGATGTTTTTCCATCCAGTAAAACTAACCCTGGGTTGTTAACATTATGTGTAGTTGACCATATTTTGCTGCCATTTTGATCTGACCAATATTTTGGTCTTTGACTATTTTTTGGAGTACTCTTTTTCATTTTACCATTTGTATTGTTTATCATATTTTGTCTATCATACCACAATGACTCATTGTGACACACAATTTAATTCCTCATTTATACACTGCAGTAGACATTTGGCTACCTCCTAGCAATTTTGTTGTCATTATTATTCTATTACCTTATTTATATATATTTTCTGAATAAAAGTTTCTTTTGTTTGTAAACAGATGTAGTATTACTCAGTTAGATATTCTTGCCACAACACTAGAACCAGTAAGACACAGAGATTATGCTGCAGCCTATAAACATAGGTATCCATCTACACCATTTAAAGTACTTAAACAAAGACAAGAGTCAAGAAACTACAAACTAACATTTGAAGAGCCTGTTAAACAGCCTCTCAAGTCAAATTTAATCAGCGAAACACCAGGCCAGCTATTTGAATTTGATGTAGCAGGAGATGGACGGATTGATTTGCTGGAGGATATAGTCAGTTCAACAGATTCCCCTGGCAGTAGACAATTAGAAAAACAGGATACATTTGATAGATTGTGTGAAGTCAGGGCAAACATCAACCCTTTTGAGAAGTATGTTACAGATTTAACTGAATCTATTATTCAACAAGCAGTGAGCCATGCTGCAGTTTTACACAAATATGGTACAGCAACAAAGTACAAGGGAGAAGAGCCTGTTTATCATACTCCTCGTCAAGGAGTTGTGTCGCAAGTTAGTTTTGCTTCAACAGATATTGAATCAACAGATGTGGAGGGTGATGAAGGGAGAGAGAATATTACTTCACTGAGAGATATTACTAATCAATCTTTAGCTAGGGAAACCAATATTTCTCACTTACGGGATACAAATATATCAATGAGGGAAACTGATACAACATTGAGAGGTCTTGCCAAATCTCAACAGTATTCTAGAATCAGAGTATTATCACCAACAATCATAGAGACTTCAAACAAAGTATACCGTGAAAAAAGTTATTCAAGTGTGCATTCTGATATGTCAAAAAGTCTGGAACATTTCTCCAGTAGAAATACTAGCCAAGTTAGACAACACTTATTTGGAAGTAATGCTGCTAGTACTCCAGATTTCTTCACTGCTGATACAGAAACTGTTCACAAATTAGGTATGAATGAAAATCTGAATAAGTAGGGTAAACCATAAGCAAGTAGAGTAAGAACTAAAGAGGAAATCAGGGCCCAAAAAAATTAATCCAAGATTTGATTGTAAATATTGACAAAAGGTATACTAAGAAAGTAAAGGAGTTGTAAGGTATAGGTAAATCAGACAATGATATCATATGTATATCCCCAAATTCTTTTAGTATTCACATTTTTGTCTTTCCTGAGACAAAAATTGCAGGGAAATACATTTTGATCCTAGATTCCATTGTAAATGGCGTTGTTGGCTTTGTCAACATTTAATTCAGACTGAGTTAAGTTTTTAAGATATCAAAAACTTTGTCAAACATTCATGGAATATTACAAAACTTTGACAAGCTTTTTCAGTATCAAGAGATAGCAACTTGAACAAAGTTTTGTAAATGATTTTATTTCATCTTTGGCTGGGTTAAACATAGAGCAGAACTGGCTAATAGTATGGTAATATAACCTGGCGAGCAGTCTGGCAGGGAAAGTGGGTACCTATTACTGTAGTCTAATTCTACAGTTTAACTCTTATCCTTTAAATTTCACAGATACATTGCAGACATATTGAAGTAGTGAACCTGTTATTATAGAATAATTTCTCAATTGAATTGTTTTAAAAGCTTGTCACACCTGGGCTCTTAATCAATTTATAGATAATTATACACTTTAACAGTATTGATAGTGCTCATTGTTAAAGGCTGTACATTGACCTATATTTGTCTCATTTTAAAAGTCCTTGTCATAAAATTAGTTCACTTTAATCACCCCAATGCATATGTACAAAAAAATTGTGTCCACTCTCTAACTTGCAATATCAGTAGTGCTAAAAAAATATTGTTGCCTTCCATGGGCATTGGGGTATAGGCTATTAAGTGTTACCCTTGACCTTTCAGTCAGTCTTTCCGTCCATCTGTACTTCCGTCCATCCCATTTTCGTTTCTGCACTCTAACTTAAGTTTGCCTCATCCAAATATTATAAAACTCATACACAATGCTTCGAACCACAATAAGCAGACAGACGTGAGCCATTTACCGTTCTAGAGTTATGCCCATTTTTGAATTGGAAAATTGCAAAGTTTGAGCAGGGGCATTCGTGTCCCATCCTTCTTTTATTTTCATATACATCATATAAGTAATTGACTGATAATTTTTTTTAACAGTCAGCATTTTGATACAATCTGTTGTTAAAGATTTTAAAACTTGAATAACTTTGTCAAACCGTAATGGAATTTTACATAGCTTGGACAGAACCTTCTTTGTAATCAACATCTTTTTTTCATTCTTCTGTATGCTACTGATAAACAGACTTAGTGTTTTGAAAGTCAACATTGCACTTTTACTCTGACAGTATCAGCCGCAGGCAGGACACATTATAATACGAATTTGTATCAGTTTTTTCTTTTTTCCTTTTGATTATGCCCAATCCAAAATATTTATCCTTATACATCTGTATGTAAATCCTTTTTTGGGAAATAGTTAGTATCAAAATCAAAAATTACATATGAAAACCACTGTAATTATGTGATATAAAGACAGTCATGTAATGCGTTAGTCTTTTATATCATTTGATTATTGCTACAGTTGTCAAAATTTTCACTAAATCTTTTATTTTATGTACTTTCATGTTATAATAGTGAAATCTCAAACAAATATTTGAAGTCAGATTTATATAAAAAAAGTCAAATTTCATATCAAATACAGTATATATGTAAATTGGTATGCAGTTTTCTGAGAAAATGTTCACTTTTGACATGTTTGATTTATTTTCAAAGGACCCATGCAACGGCAAATAAGATTTGGTACAGTACAGAAACCTAGAGGAGTAGATGACTTGCCAGTTACTCTGCAGAAATCGTACAAGAATGTAAAGTGGTGGACAGGAGCTCCAAAGAAAGGAAAAATCTTCTTAAAGGCCCAGAAAGTTGATTTGATGTCTAATTTTAAAGATCAGCTGAAACAGATATGGACTGTAAGTTTATAATAATTTGTTTTTAATGTCATACAAAGAAATTGGAAGGGTATGTAATGTTATTCTTGTTACTTGTGTATATATGTCATCATTGTTTGATACTAAAAGAAAATATTAGGACATGGTATGACTGCCAATGATACTTCTTTCCATCAAGACCAAAGGACAGAGATGTGAACAATAACTGGTCACCATACTGCCTTCCACAATGAGCAAAACCCTTACCATATAGACAGTAATAGGAAGCTATAAAAGGCCACAGAGCCCATTAAGTTTACCAATATCTGCTATATTGATTCAACCACTTTGGAGATTAGATTTTTTTTTTAAGAAAGCTTGCAATTGATTGTCTTGCGCACACACTAAAAATGTTAAGTTTGTAAGAGTGAAGGCCAACTTAATCAGTAAAAATTACCTTTATTACTTATTATTCCAATAAAATGCACTAGAATAGAAATTATGTCCAGACAAAAAAATTCATTAACACTTACAGAATTATTTTGCCTTTGTAGGAATGTGATGTCATATATATGCCATCTCTCACACCAATGAAATGAGACTTTACATACAACATTTGATTAATTAAATTATGCGATGAAATTTATAGATACAGCTGCAATAACACTTTGTAGTGATAAAAAAAGTCAAATAACATATTTTATATTCTTTATAATTTTATTGTTTTAGTGGCAAGGTCAGTGGGAAGGATATGAAAAGATTAATTTACTAAAAGAAGTGTTGAAGTTATGTGGAGATGAAGTTCTAAGTCAGCTTACTACACATATACAACAAAGGTATAATTATAATTTTACAAAACAAAAGATGTTAATTTGAATATCATATTAAACGATAAGTACTGTAAACCAACTTATTTTTGATACATAGTTTTGCTGTTTTCCCTTTCTGACTGATTTTGCAGTTATTTATTTGCACAACTTTCTAACTTTAATGATGTCTTCATATACCAGGTATAACAGGTCGGGTACACTACCTTATATGGATATGCATAATTAAGCATACTAATGTTCCTCCCAAGTTCATTGTTTGTTTACATAATACTCAATTTTGTTACCTTAGTTATTGACCAATTCAGTGAATGAATTATGATGCATGATGGATTAATACGTGTTTGCAATTTACCAAGAACACATGTTTTTAATGACAAACACATTTTTTCACAGATTGCTGGAAAGATATTTTATCTTATTTTTTCTTTTTACAGACCATGATATAAACCATTAGTTCTAAGCTCAGATTAACAAATAATTGATGCTGTCCTAAGAAACCAGTGTTTTAAATACTTGAACCATAGACTCTATTATTATGTATGAATAAACAAAGATTTCAGACATTTGCTCACAGGACAGCAACCAAACAACACAAAAACCTAAAAAGATGATTACTTGAATTCTGATTATCAAATTGGGAGGCTCCTTAACTTTTCATTTATCTCGTAAAAAAGGGAAAGCAAGTGTTAAATGTCTGTAAAATGCACTCACAAATCTTTTTTGTTTCAGCACACTAGATTTTATGATATATAACCTACATCTGTCATTGTAAAGATTAATTAAAGAACCATTGTCCAAAAAAGTACAACCAAATGTTGCACGCCAACAGAGGTTATCAAAAAAATGTCTTTTAGAAGTACATATACCACATGCACTGAATATTGCATTGTAATTCTTTCATTGTAAATAATTATTGTTTCTGCAATGTGTAATTAGTTTATTCATCCTAAAGTTTTGTTTTTTCTACTCCTGTATTCAAAACATGTTTTCAAAGGTCTAACTGTGACCTTGAAAGGATTAACATCAATTAAAAGTGCAGTTCATTTTCTTTTCTTTTTTATAATCTTTTGTGCATAGTGATTTTGTGTCATGACTTGTTTTTGTTCTATTATAGAATAACATTTTTACATTGCGATGACCGTGATTGGTAACCGATCTATAAATCTGCGGACATTATCGAGTGCAAAATAACATTCCTTATCGCTTGTTATAAATTCAATCCTTCAATGAATACTCATAAAAATATTTTTTTTAGAACATAAATTAATAATATGAAAACGTTTTGTAGTTAGAAATATATATATATAAGTCAAAAATCATTAATATCTGTGCACATGTACAGAAAAATTGTATTAACGCATGCAGAAGAATATCTCAAGAACGTTTTGCGGGAAAATATGAATGCCTACTCAAATCCAATCTATTAGAAAAATAGAATTATTACAGAAGAGTGTCCACCATGCACTTGCACTGCACTATTATTAGAATAGTAGATTAGAGTGATATACAAATGGATGAAAATCATATATACATGTAACTGTTATATACAAATATTAATATAATATATAACAACAATAAGTATACTGATTTTTATCACTACAATATGATAGTTATTACGGTTAGGTTGAATTCCCTGTCATTTATTCATCATCCACACACGAACTTGTCTCAGAAAAAAATATATCTCTGTATATTAACCTCACTCGCAGGTATAGAGATGTGATTTTTTTTCTGAGACAGTGCTTGTGACAATCCCACAAGAACTCGCGGTCATTCTGATGTTCAGTACTTCAGTACCTTGATTAATTCAGTTGCCTTGAGTCTAGAAAATTTTTGTAAAGCATAATTTCAGTGACATATTGTAAAAGTGGACAAGTTTTTGCTTGAGTTCCCCCCCCCCCCCCCCCCCCCCCCCCCCTTATAACCAGGAGTATGAGAAAGTTTTTTATTATTATTTGATGGAAATAATGATTAAGCATTGACATTTTATTTTATAGAATTAGAGACACAAGAGATGTTAATCGGCTGTCAGATAAACTTTTACTGTACATTTTTTCCTTTTTGACACCGCATGAGATTTTTAGAGCATCACAGGTGAGTCATGCCTTATAGACCAATTGTGATATATTGTATTCCTATAAAAACTACAATTCTGTGTTGCCATCTTGGTTGGTACAGTAGTTTAGAAAATAGTTATCAAACCTTGAGAGTTGAATGGAAAGTGTAATAAGATTAAGATATATTTGTCAAAATTTGGGACTCTCCTATGTTATTATGATAAATTTGAGATGTGCATTTAAATAAATTGTCCTTTGAAAAATCTGTTTTCAGATTTATTTGCTGCGACTTATTTCTCTGTAATAAAAAAGGTAAAATGGTAGATATACTGACTGGAATTGTGATGAGATGATTTAAGATGTAAATTTTCTCCTTGAAAACATTTATGTACCTTATGGCAAGAAAGTTTATGGACAAGTTGTAGGTATTCCTTTGAGCACCAATTGTGCCCCTTTGTAGTAGACTTGTTCCTGTATTGTCATGAATCACACTTTAAGGCCAAACTTAGTAAAGATCCTCTAAATTCTAATTAATTGATAAATTATCAACACTTATTGCTACCTTGATGATATTTTTGCTCCAAATAATCAAGAATTCTCTAATTGTACTAAGGAAATTTAACTAAAGGAACTTGCTTTAGATAAATCTAGTATGAACGGTAATAATTGTCCTTTCCTAGATTTATACATTTCAGTTTCATGTGGGAAAATCAAAACAAAAATATTCAACTTAAGAGATGATTTTTTGTTTCCTGTTGATAATTTTCCTTTTTAGCTCACCCAGGCCCGAAGGGCCCCATGTGAGCTTATGCCATCACTTGGCGTCCTTCGTCGTCTGTCGTCGTAAACTATTTCAAAAATCTTCTCCTCTGAAACTACTGGGCAAAATACCTTCAAACTTTAAATAAATGTTCCTTAGGGTATCTAATTTATAAATTGTATTTGAAGTTTTGATCCATCGACAAACATGGCCGCCATGGCTAAAAATAGAACATAGGGGTCAAATGCAGTTTTTGGCTTATATCTCAAAAACTAAAGCTCTTAGAGCAAATCTGACAGGGGTAAAATTGTTCAGTTGGTCAAGATCTATCAGCTCTAAAATTTTCAGACGAATCGAACAACCCAATGTTGGGTTGCTGCCACCGAATTGGTAGTTTTAACAAAATTTTGCAGTTTTTTGTTATTATTTTGAATATTATTATAGATATATATAAACTGTAAGCAGCAATAATGTTCAGCAAAGTAAGATCTACAAAAAAGTTTATATGACCATAATTGTCAATTGACCCCTAATGGAGTTATTGCACTTTAAAGACAATTATACACAATTTGTTCATCAAGTTTGCTAACATTTAAAAATCTTCTCCTCTGAAACTACTAGGCCAATTACCTTCAAACTTTTACTAAATGTTCCTTAGGGTATCTTGTTTATAAATTGTATCCGAAGTTTGTATCCATCGACAAACATGGCCACCATGGCTAAAAATAGAACATAAGGGTCAAATGCAGTTTTTGGCTTATATCTCAAAAACTAAATCTTTTAGAGCAAATGTGACAGGGTAAAATTGTTTAATTGGTCAAGATCTATCGGCCCTGAAATTTTCAGACGAATCGAAAAACCCATTGTTGGGTTGCTGCCACCGAATTGGTAGTTTTAACAAAATTTTGCAGTTTTTTGTTATCATTTTGAATATTATTATAGATATATATAAACTGTAAGCAGCAATAATGTTCAGCAAAGTAAGATATACAAAAAAGTTAATATGACCATAATTGTCAATTGACCCCTTAAGGAGTTATTGCCCTTTAAAGACAATTTTACACAATTTGTTCATCAAGTTTGCTAACATTTAAAAATCTTCTCCTCTGAAACTACGGGCCAATTACCTTCAAACTTTAAATAAATGTTCCTTAGGGTATCTTGTTTATAAATTGTATCCGAAGTTTGTATCCATCAACAAACATGGCCACCATGGCTAAAAATAGAACATAAGGGTCAAATGCAGTTTTTGGCTTATACATGTATCTCAAAAACTAAATCTTTTAGAGCAAATGTGACATGGGGTAAAGTTGTTTAATTGGTCAAGATCTATCGGCCCTGAAATTATCAGACGAATCAAACAACCCATTGTTGGGTTGCTGTCACCGAATTGGTAGTTTTAACAAAATTTTGCAGTTTTTTGTTATTATTTTGAATATTATTATAGATATATATAAACTGTAAGCAGCAATAATGTTCAGCAAAGTAAGATCTACAAAAAAGTTATTATGACCAAAATTGTCAATTGACCCCTTAAGGAGTTATTGCCCTTTAAAGACAATTTTATACAATTTGTTCATCAAGTTTGCTAACATTTAAAAATCTTTTCCTCTGAAATACAGGTGAGCTATTCAGGCTCTTGAGAGCCTCTTGTTTGGATGGTGATGTTCCTTTGGCCCCTTCTTCTGGTGTGTATATTTTCCAAATCATTCTCTATGGTCTTGAAATTGAGAATGGAAACAGGGAAAGTGTCAAAAAGACAACAACCCGACCAAAGAGCAGAAAACAGCTCTAGGCCACCAATGGGTCTTCAACAGAGTGAAAAAATCTCGCACCTGGAGGTGGGCTTTAGCTGGACCATAAACAAAAATGTATGCTAGTTCAGAGAAAATGGACGTCACACTAAACTCCGAAACATATAAATGAACCAAAATTTAAAAAACATACAAACTGACAAAGGCCAAAGGTTCCTGACTTTGGACAGGCGCAAAAATACAGCGGGGTTTAACAAGTTTTGTGAGATCTCAACCCTCCCCCTATACCCTCTAGCCAATGTAGAATAAACAAACTCACAGTAATACGCACAGTAAAACTCAGTTTAAAAGAAGTCCAATGTTAGAATAGGTAACAGAAGAAACTAAGCAAAATGACAATGATCAACATAGATTAACAAAGGACTACTAGCAGTTACTGACATGCCAGCTCCAGACCTCAATTAAATTGATTGAAAGATTATGTCTTCATCATATGAAAATCAAGCACAATCCCTCCCGTTAGGGGGTTTAATATCATACCATCATAAAATATACCAGAAGAACATAACTCGTATCATGCCATCAACAGGTTTTAGAATACATGTGTCTATTTTTGATGCAAAGTGATATTTGAGATTTCAATTAGCGTAATCTATGTATAACTAGTACATTAATTAGTCAGGGATTTTGTATCAATAAATTTCTGAAAACTTTTACTAAATTCTTTCATAGATACTAAGATTTGGTTTGTAAGTTTGGCTGTACCTGTAGAATTCTTATAAAAAACAGAAATTTACATTCTTATTTTTTGCTGTATTTTTTTTTGTTTATAAAGCCAGTAAACTTTGATATGATCCATGTTAACTCATTGATCCTATGAATAAAGTGATTATTTAAGGAAATCAATTCAACACTGTAGTAAGATTATTGAAAAATTGTTTTTATCAGAACTAACATTTATTTAGTTTTTGATAAAATAAAATATAACTAAACTATTCTATTGCTATACAATTTATGAAAACTTATGGTCCTACATCCTACCAATATTATGTAATTATATTTGCACATTGTACATGGTCATGCATTTCCCAGAATGTTTATGATGTCTTTACATTAAATCCATTGGATGTGTACTGGTTGATACTTATGGCTTTTTTATTAGTTGTTACTGGCTTTGAACTAGCTTTTAGCTGCTGCAAGTACTCTTAGATGAGTGTTTTGTGTCTTTTGTCTTATGTTAGTTGGGTTTTTTTTAGCAGTGTGCCAGTGTGATGAGTCAAGTAATTTGATTTTTACATTTTGTCCTTATGTTGTGGTAAGGGGAGGGTTGAGCACTCACATACATGTTTAACCCCACCACATTCTGGTTGTGCCTGTCCTAAATTAGAAGCCTGTAATTCAGTAGTTGTCATTGGTTGCTCTTTGTCATACTGTGAAAGTACTTTAATTGATGGGTATCAATTTTCGAGGTTTGAGCACAAATTACAAGTTCGAGGGTTCTTAAATTTATGGATTTTAGTTTTCTGAAAAAAATCGAGTGAAGAATTTAAAGCCATCAGAAATGAAGATTCTTGAAAATAATCATATGTTGTTTTATCACAATTTGTGGGACATTGCAAAATAAGGTGTTCATTTTCACTTATTTCTTTGTCTTTCATTACTGACAACATTCATCAAATTTTTGCTAAAATAATTGCTTTGGGAAATAAGCCGATTCATCTAAGCTTACAAATTGTCTTGGATTGAAGGAAATTGCAAAGTAAACATATTGTTTCAGAAAAAGGGGGAAGGTTTGGTACCATTAAAACGTTTATACCCGCTGCAATTGTTTGCACATGTCCTAAGTCAGGAATCTGATGTTCAGTAGTTGTCGTTTGTTGATGTGGTTCATAAGTGTTTCTCGTTTTTTGTTTTTTATATAGATTAGATCGTTGGTTTTCTTGTTTGAATGGTTTTACACTAGTAATTTTTGGGGCCCTTTATAGCTTGCTGTTCGTTGTGAGCCAAGGCTCCGTGTTGAAGACCGTACTTTGACCTATAATGGTTTACTTTTATAAATTTTGACTTGGATGGAGAGTTGTCTCATTGGCACTCATACCACATCTTCTTATATCTATTTTAATTGTTGCACACCTGTAATCAGAAGTGATGATACTAATTAACCCGAGATCAAATGATCAATAGATTAAAGATCATCAATGGTGTTAATGGGGCCATAAACATGTCACTTTAAGAAAATTGTTACATAAACGAAATGCTTCAAATGTACTTTGAATTGTAGAATTAATTCTTATGAAATAAAAAAGCACATCACATATCATTACTTGAAGTCTGACTTTATTGATCAAATCTACTTTTTCATGAGAATTGAAAGGATAAAAGATGTACAGTTTACCACAAAAGGAAGGTTGGGATTGATTTTGGGGGTTATGGTACCAACAGTTTAGGAATTAGGGACCAAAAAGGGGCCAAAAACAAGCAATTTTGTCGAGCCTGCAACTTTTGTCGCTAAAGCAAGACATAGCGATCTTACATTCCGTCTTCGACGTTGTCGTCGGCGGCTTCCACAAATATTCATTCTGTGGTTAAAGTTTTTGAAATTTTAATAACTTTCTTAAACTATCCTGGATTTCTACCAAACTTGGACAGAAGCTTGTTTATGATCATAAGATAGTATCCAGAAGTAAATTTTGTAAAAAAAAAAGATCCTGTTTATCCATATTTTACTTATAAATGGACTTAGTATTTCTGCCAGTTAACATTACATTCACTCTGTGGTTAAAGTTTTGAACATTTTAATAACTTTCTTAAACTATCCTGGATTTGTACCAAACTTGGACAGAAGCTTGTTTATGATCAAAAGCTAGTATCTAGAAAGAAATTTTGTAAAAATTGATTTCCTGTTTTTCCGTACATTACTTATAAATGGACTTAGTTTTTCTTCTAGTTAACTTTACATACAGTCTGTAATTAAATTTTTTAAAACATTTATTAGATTCATAAACCATCCTTGATTTTTACCAAACTTAGACAGAAGCTTCCTACAATCAAAAGATAGTATCAAGAGAAAAATTTTTAATAATTTTTCCCCATTTTTGTTGAGCCTGCGACTTTTGTCTTTTTTTTCTTCCAGACAATCTATAGATTTGATTGCATACTGTATTCATTTTTTACAAGCATAACTTTTTTCATACATTTCAAACGTTTTATTTCATTAACTGTAAATCTATTATGTGCATTCACCTATCACACTGAAAACATAGACAACAGCAAAAGTAGGCGGAACCCTTACAAATTTTGGTAGTTTCTGGACAATAACTTTTGTGTAAGTGTATGGATCTCTTGGAAATTGTACCACAAGGTTCCGTATCACAAAGGGAAGGCTGGAATTGAGTTTGGGGGTAATTGCCCCAAACGTTCAGGAATTAGGGGCAAAAAAGGGGCCAAAAACAAGCATTTTTCTAGTTTCCAGACCATAACTCGTGTTTAAGTGTATGGATCTCTCTGAAATTGTACTACAAGGTTCCATACTACAAAGGGAAGGCTGGGATTGAGTTTGGGGGTAATTGCTCCAAACATTTAGAAATTAGGGGCAAAAAAAGGGCCAGAAATAGGCATTTTTCTAGTTTCCAGACAATAACTTGTGTTAAAGTTTATGGAACTCTCTGAAATTTTTCCTGAAAAGAAACTGATCTTCAAAATTTCAAAAATAAATGGGGGGGTTCAAAAAGTTTTGGGGGGATTTGAAAATTTTTTAAATTTCAAATCTTATGAAAAAAATTTTTGGGGGGGCTGAGAATTTTTTTTCAACTTTTTTTGGGGGGGTCATACTTTTTTTCTTCAAGATTTTTCAAAATTTCAAATTTTTCAAAATTTTTTTTTGGAGGGGGGACAAAATTTTTTGGGGGGGATTTTCTTTTCTTTTTTTTTTTCCCAAAAATTTTCCCTTTTTTACATTGATTATTTTTTATTTATATATAAAAGCAACAAATACTGTTATGGCAGGAGATTATTATATATAACAAATTAACTAAGTATTGTGCAACAGCACAGTATTGCACAATAGCACAGTATTGCGCATTAGCAAGAAATCTTCAATTGAAAATAAATACAAATCTTTTAACCAAATTCAATGGGATTAATTTTAAAGTCTTTAATTTTTGGGGGTTTTAACCTTTTATTACTATTTTGGATATTAGGCCCCATTTTTGAATTGGTCTACATTGAGGTCCAAAGGGTCCAAAATTAAACTTTGTTTGATTTCATCAAAAACTGAATTATTGCGGCTGTATGACATGCTGAATCTTATTGTGCATTTAGATTTTTTATTTTGGGCCCTGTTTTCAAATTAGTCCATATTAAGGTTTAAAGGGTCCAAAATTAAACTTTGTTTGATTTCAACTAAAATTAAATTTTTTGTGTTTTTTTTATATGCTGAATCTAACCATGTTGTTAGATTTTGGTTATCAGACCATACTAGGTAAATTAAATGTCCCATTTCAAATTTTTATGATTTTTGACCACATTTATTATGAGTCAGAAACCTATATTATGTCAAAAATTTGATCACAATCCAAACTCAGACAGTATCAAGCTTGAATTTTGTGTCCAAACTTGCCCCAGCTGTTCAGGGTTCTACCTCTGCGGTCGTATCAGGCTGTGCTTGGCGAAGCATTTTATTAAAAAATTCAATGGATAAAATCCTGTCAGAAGTTGTATAAATAATTCAAAGTGGGTTTGCTGATATTCAATGTATTCTGTAGATTATATTTCTGTATCCATGTTGCCAATCCTACATGGAAATCTTTTCATGTATTGATTTGGACCACTGTTGTTATATTTTTTTGGACACCCAAATTCTTGGATAAAGCCATTCACAAAAACCACAATATTGGTAACCCATGAAAAAAGATCTTCACAGTATTTGTAAACTGAAAGTTGGGGGGCATATTGTTTTACCCCTGTCTGTCCGTCTGTCCTTCCGTCCATTCGTCCTATTATGGGTATATAGTTCTTCCAGAAACTCCTCCTACAGTTTGAATGCTAGGAAGTTTTCACTTTGATGGCTGTTTGTACATATATTGAAGGTGTGCATGTGGTCTGGGTTTTGATTTTTATTGATATTTGCTCTTTTGGAAGATAGTTGAACTTTGTCATTTTTGGGTATAAACTTGCATAAGAGGAACCATCAACCTATGTGCTCCCATACTCAACTTTGTGTATTTTAAAATAACACTTTGCATCTGCGGGGGCATCATTTGTGTCTCCCAGACACAATAATATCTCATAGCAAGTCCTATATTGATTTTGTTATAATACACTATCTTCAGAGTGGAGTGCTGGGGCATCACTTTGTCTAGTTTGCTTATTGTTTTGTTATAATTCAGGACGTTGTTTTGTTTTTTGTTTTTTTTTAAATTATTCACATTTTGTCAAGGATGGGCCTTTTATAGCTGACTATACAGTATTGGTTTTGCTCATTGTTAATAGGATGACCTATAATTGCTTAAATCTGCTTCATTTTGAATCTGTTGGATAGTTGTCTCATGAGCAATCATACCACATCTCCTTATATTATATTCAACTGACATAAAACCATGTTACCTTATAAAAATTCCTCTGTCCTGTATTAGGTTAATTCAGGTTTAAGGCAGTTTATCATGAACTGAAGATTTGGTTACATCAGCATGACACTTAGTACACATGTTCATTTTGATGTAAACTTTTAAAATTATATGCCAAATTTAGGTTTTGACCCATGATTGATTGATTGATTGGTGTTTAATGCCACTTTCAGCACTAATGTGCTATTTCTTGGCAGTTTTTATTGGTGGAGGAAGCCTGAGTGCCTGGAAAGAACCACTGACCTTTGGTAGGAAAACCTCTCTGCTCTGAGTTTTATGGCTAACAACTAGTATATATAAGAATTCAACAAAGATAAAGTTACTTAAGAGTAAAGCACACTATTCTAAGGTGTACATTGACTATTACACTTCAAAGTATGCACTTGCCAGTTTACAAAACCTGTAAAAAATCTAAATACACAGTTAGATTTGGCATATCAAAGAACCCCAATAATTCAATTTTAGATGAAATCAAACAAAGTTTAATTTTGGACCCTTTTGACCTCAATATGAACCAATTTAATAACGGAGTCCACAAATATATCTTTGAAGTAATTTATGTAGGAATACTCAATTACATATTGCACTTATAAAACAACTTTGTAATTAAGTTTTTTTTATATATTTTTATAAATTTAGGTGTGTAGGAGATGGAGGTTCTTATGTGACACAGATGATCTATGGATGATTAAATGTCATGAGCTAGGTATGAAATTATTTTATGGTAAAGATTGCACTTTGTGCAATCAAATCAACTTCATATATCCGCTGGTTGGTTTTCTATAATACATACAACTTTATAAACACAACATGGTTCAGATCAGTGCAGTGAGGTGTACATTCTTTAGATTCTATCCATTGTCAAGTAATTTATGGATAATCTAATTTGCAAAAGGATGTATGTTTATAACCATACCACATCTTCTTATATCTATTTTTAAGAAAACCTTTTTATTATAAAATACACTGTCAGATGTGGTATGTGATTTAGGAGTCTATCTATTCTTACATTCTTACAATTTCATAGATAAAGGGAAATACATCAATTCACAATATTGCCAAAATATGTTTCTTTGTTTTATAATACAGTGTACAATGTAATGTTTAATTTTTAAATCAATCTTAATACCCCATCAGAGCTAACAAGCAATTTGATTTTGATTTATTTAAAAATGTATCAAAAATCAGTATAACTTAAGTGAATAAATTACTGTAAGATGTCACTGAAATTGTTGAATATTTTTTTAGCAATTAGAATTAAGCCGTTTACCATTGTATATCATAATGTATATATCATAAAAATGTTACTGACTGTGATGTTCTATGGAATTAATATCAAATATTATTATAAAAATAAGGAGATGTGGTATGATTGCAAATGAGACAACTATCCACCAAAATTCAAATGAAGTGGATGTAAGCAATTATAGGCAACCGTACAGCCTTCAACAATGAGAAAAAACCATACTGTATAGTCAGCTATAAAAGACCCCAACATGAAAAATATGAAACAACTCAATGGAGAAAACTAACGTCTAATTTACAACAAAACAATTTCTGAAAAACAAATATATAATATCACAGATACGAACCAATGACAACCACTGAACTACCGGCTCCAGACTTGGTATATGCACATAAAGAATGTGGCTGGATTAAACATGTTTGTGAGTGCTCAACCCTCCCCTAACGTGGGACAATGGTGTTACAGCACAACATAAGAACATCAGATCGATACAAAGCAGAAAAATATTTAACAAAAACACATACCGGACGTGGCAGGGTATTTATACATCCCTAACAACAAAAAAAGAAACAAAGGACAGATTTATCAAGAGATAATAATAATAGTTTATTAAGTTTGTTGTAATTACCTCAGCTATGGAACTAATCGTATTTAGCTTTTTATGACCTAACTTTAGGTGTGAAAGAAGGAATAGATATAATCCTATTTAGCTTTTTATGACATAACTTTAGGTATGAAAGAGGGAATAGAATTAATCCTATTTAGCTTTTTATGATATGACTTCATGTGTGAAAGAGGGAATAGAAATAATCGTATTTAGCTTTTGATGACCTAACTTTAGGTGTGAAAGAGGGAATAGAAATAATCGTATTTAGCTTTTTATGACCTAACTTTAGGTGTAAAAGATGGAATAGAAATTATCGTATTTAGCTTTTGATGACCTAACTTTAGGTGTGAAAGAGGGAATCGATAACATGGATGATATTGTAATGAAGTCAAATCAAAATAAAATGGGTATAGACTGGAAGCTAGCTTATATGGAACTACAGAGAATCACCCGTATGATGAAATGGGATGCCAAACAAAGAGGTAGGAATACTCAACATATACATATAAACCATAGAAAACAAGGTGATATAAACTTTATTATTATTCATATTAATGAATACTATACAGTCAAACCTGTATTAAACAGTCACTCATGGGAAGCATTAAAAGTGACCATTCAAGAGAGGTGACCTTTTAAGAGAGGTTCTGAAAAATTCTGATTCCGACATCACCCGTGGCAGGGATTGCGGCAAACTGTTTTTGTGTTTTCAATTGGTAGAGTTACTGTTCTTGGAGCAGTGAAAGAAAAAAAAGCAAATTCAACGGTGTGAATTAGATGAAAACTTTGGCAATACGTTAATATCCATAGAAGTTGGTGATACTGTTTTCCAAAAAGAAGAACATTAGGAATTCATCTCCTATTGTGCAATCTCAGTTGCAAACAGGGTCCAATTCTCATTTTCACTTCGATACTGCAAAGAGTTATATTATATAGAGAAAAGATTTGGGAGGGTATGAAAGATACCGTTAGAGACAGGTGACCGCTGAAACAAGGTGATCATTCAGTATATATAAAAAAGAAGATGAGGTATGATTGCCAATGAGACAACTCTCCACAAGCGACACAGAAATTAATAGCTATAGGTCACTGTATGGCCATCAACTATGAACAAAGCCCATACCGCATAGTCTGCTATAAAAGGCCTCGAAATCACAAATGTAAAACAATGCAAACGAGAAAACTAAAGGCCTAATTAATGTACAAAAAAATGAACGAAAAACAAATATGTAACAAAGCAACAAACGACAACCACTGAATTACAGGCTTCTGACTTGGGACAGTCACATACATACAGAATGTGGCGGGTTAAATATGTTAACGGGATCCCAACCCTCCCCTAACCTGGGACATTTGTGTAACAGTACAACATAAGAACGAACTATAAATTTCAGTTGAAAAAGGCTTAACTCATCAGATGGATACAAATAGAAATACATATAACAAAAACTCGTGGACGTGATCAGGAACTTGTACATCCAAACAACAAAAAGACACTAAGTACAGATCTGAGAGTACTCGCAGTTACTGACAGCTAGTTCAAAGCCAATAACAACTAATATAAAAAATCATGCATCTAAGACTAAATAATACAGGCAGTTTGACTGTATATTTAAAATAAAAAAATTGTTAGCAAAAAAAATCAACTTTCCTGTTAACCCCAATTTAAAATTTTGTACCTGTTCAGGTTAATAAAACTAGTTCATATTTTTGCTATAAAAAGTCCAACAAGCTTGCAATATTATGCACATAACTTATTGGTTAACGCAAGGATTTGTATAGTGAGTCTCACTATACAAATCCTTGGTAAACGGTAGGTGCTTTTATGTATATGATTTTTAATCAAGTACTTTATTTCTCTAAAGAAAATTACATTCCAATACCATGGCAACAATTTTTGCCTGTTTTGGTGACCATTCCAAGCACTGCTAAAGGTGCAGGTAAATTTCTGCTGCATGTTGAATGATAATTGTATATTATGTCACTTATAATTCATTAAAGAGACGTTTAAATTCTGTGCATGGAAACTAATTATGGTTTGCATAATTTATTAATTTTTCTAATAAATTTGTAAGAGTGAAGTTCATATGACATTTTTTTTTATAGTCATAACTTTAAAAAAGAAGTCAGTCAGAGAAATTACCAGTTGATATGATGATTTCATTTGAAAATTAAACATTTTTGGTTTCATATTATCATTTCTGCTGTTTTTAATTGTCTAAATACAATTTCTCAGTCATTGAAGTTTTATGTATGTGGAAAAGAAAGGATATGGTTTATCAATTCATGACACAAATCAATATGTGTACATGAAAACTCCAAAACCAATGGAACAGCACTTTTATTGTTGTTCTTCAACTCAAAGTCACAGTTTGGCCTCAAATATGGAGCAAAAATTGTCATCTCACTGCAAATTCAAAATGGCCCCATGCACTGGTTTGAACATAATCTTTGCTAAAAAACAAAACTGTGCATTGAAGAAGACAGCTATGGGTATATCAACAAACTCGAAATAATATCAGGCAAAGAAATCTTACAAATACTGTCAGTCTGAATTTAATTGTATTTTGTAAAACATAAAAATAAAGTTACTTGAAAAACAAAAAGAATATATATATATATATATCTACTCTAAATATCAGCGCAACAATGTTAAATCTGCAAATTTGCGGAAGCAAATTTTTGTTCTTCCCTTGCTGGGATTATATATATTCAAACCTATGATTGCGTTGGATAAAAACTGCAATTTTTAAACAAATTTCTTGTTAGAGGGGTCTAAATACAGCACAATCAACATTTTCCAAAAGACCAAAAAGGTGTAAAAGTATATTTTAACAAAATGGATTTGACTAGCAGGTCGAACAACGGATGTTCTTAAACCCTGCTGACTGCTGATATATATATCTTGTAACATGAGCTAAACCTAAATGTGGCGTTCAATTTGTAGGACAATTCGGAAGTGAATTTTTTTAAAGCAACTCTAGAACATTAAAACTGCTTCAGCAAAAATTCAAAGGATTGATATTCCAGCCTTTAGGAAAATATAATCGCACTATTAATTTCATTAAAGTCCAGCCACTCAAAACCGTCCAGAAACAACCAGGACGTGCACACAAACAACTTTGTGGATTCCCTTAAAATTTTCAAGCTGTCTTTGATTAAACAGCTACAGACAGCATAAATCCTCAGTCTAAATGACAATGTCATGGGACAAGGGAACATAAATAAAACTTCCTCTATTGACATCACAAATATTGTTTCAAAACAATGGAAGACATAAATTATTATACCATGACGTGGTAATTTGTAAATTACATTTTTAAAGAATATGAAAGTATGTAGTTTTGCAGTTATGAGTACCATTCACCTTTTTGTCACCATAGGCTGTATCCTTGGATAGATTAACTTGAAGATAATAAAAAACATTTTTTTTATTTAAAAATGCATGAATACTGTGGATTCATTATTATTTGTTGGATACCAATTTTCGTGGATTTCATATAGGTGAACCACAAAATTAAATGTTCAACAAAACTAATTGCCTATAGGCTTGTATGCAGACTTGGGCAAAACGACGAAATTATATATCCATGAACATGTAAGTTTTCCTTAATCCACGAAAATTGGTACCCACGAAAAATAAATGAATCCACAGTTGTAGTCAAACCCAGCAAAAATAAAATTTCTGCAATATTAAGATATATTAGTGATACATCTAATCATACAGTACAATCAGATCAGAACTGGACATGTTATCTAACACACCAAAAGATGGAATATGCTTGGTAAGGGTAAACAAAATCAACTTATTGAAAGTTACTAAATTGATTTTAAGTTAAAAACTTGATATATATTATACTAAAAGGGGCACCAAAAAGAAATTTTGAATAATATACAAGTGTGATAGCCAATTTATAACATTTAAAAATCTAAACCAATTTACATTTCTAATATATTATTTTATCAGCAATTCTGCTTTATGAGTACACTATATATTTATTTGTTCATGTATTTAACTTATTTAACTTGCTACACAGCATGAAGTAGCACATATTTTGGATTTGTTATGATGCATGATATGCAGTGCATAAGATTTTTTATGTTTAATCAACAAAATTATGTATTATAATAGATAACCTTTTATGAATTTCTATATCAGATTCAAGATTTGCAAAAGAACTGTTATATTATGGTATGATGTTGGAACTTATTTTTATCTCACATATTTGATTTACATGTCACTTATTATACACCTGTTTAATGATAGATGTATTACGTTATACTGCATTCTGTCTGTACGTCTGTTAAATCATATCTCAGGATAGCTAGAGTTGCATAATTCAAACTGTCTGATTATTTACACATGTTCGGTTTCAGAAAGACCAGTTTTTCTAATGTTTTGATGATTTTTTGGTTCGTCATTCCAAATTGTTTTTTACTTTCATGATAACTCTGGTTTACTTCATTGAATCTGTAAGAAGTTTTAGGTGATGTTAATATATGCATATATTCATGGTTCTATGAAGATAAGTTACCTTTTGATTTTGAAGCTATTTTTAAATTGTTGTTTCACAGTTATGGGACTTTATTTTTGAAATTGTAGACAATTTGTGTTGGCCTTGAACAAAGAACTGATGAAATTTTGTTTCAATCTTAAAACCAGTAAAAGCTCCCTACCTGTCAGTTTTTAACAGTGCCCAGATTTTTTGTTCCTGAGTAACAGAAATTAACACCTCAAGTAAGGGGTATGGGCATATCAAAATTGAACTCATTGCACAGCTGTTAATTAGAATAATGGATTTCCACAATCACATGGTTAGATAGAATTTAATTTATGTATTGTGTAGCATTTTGAACACATGATTAGATACTAATCACACAGTTTGTTTATTGTTTACAAGCAAATTTACATGCAGGCAGCTTTTTATTAGATGGTGAATGAAAGATGTACATTTCAAACATATTGTGTGTGTACTATAAAACTTTTTTTATGCCCCTGCCGTAGCGAAGGGGTGCATTAAGTTTTACCCTTGTCCGTCTGTACGTACATCCGTCCGTACGTCTGTACGTCCCAAAACTGGTTTGCGTTCTCTAACTTGAGTTTGCCTCAACCAAATGTTATGAAACTTATACACAATGCTTATTACCTCAAAACACAGATCAATTTTGAATTTTGGTGGTGTCACTTCAACCGCTCTAGAGTTATGCCCCTTTATAAATGGAAAAATTGAAAAAATTTTAGTTTCTGTTCTCTAACTTAAGTTTGCCTCAATCAAATTTTATGAAACTTATACACAATGCTTATTACCACAAAACACAGATCAAGTTTGAATTTTGGTGGCGTCACTTTAACCGTTCTAGAGTTATGCCCCTTTATAAATGGAAAAATTGCATAGTTTCTGTTCTCTAACTTAAGTTTGCCTTAAATCAATGCTTTATACAATACAATGTTTAATTTTGACTTCCACTGATAAAACACAGATCAAGTTGAATTTGGGTAGTGTCACTTTAACCATTATTGAGTTATGCCCCTTTATAAATCGAAAGATTGCAAAATTTTTAGTTTCCATTCTGTAACTTAAGTTTGCCCCAACCAAACATTATGAAACCTATACACAATATTCATTACCACAAAACTAAGATCAAGTACAATTTTTTGTTTCCGTTTTCTAACTTTAGTCTGCCTCAACCAGATGTTATGAAACTTATACACAATGCTTATTACTACATAATACAGATTAAGTACGAAATTTGGTGGTGACACTTTTACCATTCTTGAGTTATGTCCCTTTTTAAACATAAAAATTGCTGAATTTTTTAGTTTGTCTCAACCAAATGTTATAAAACTTATACACAACCGTTCTAGAGTTATGCGTGTTTACAAATAGAAAAATTACTGAATTTTTAGTTTCTGTTCTCTACTTAAGTTAGCCTCAACCAAATGTTATGAGACTTACACACAATGCTTATTACCACAAAACTCAGATCAAGTTCAAATTTGGGTAGCGTCACTTTTACCATTCTTCAGTTATGTAGATATAAGAAGATGTGGTATGAGTGCCAATGAGACAACTCTCTATCCAAGTCAAAATTTATAAAAGTAAACCGTTATAGGTCAAAGTACAGTCTTCAACATGGAGCCTTGGCTCACACCGAACAGTAAGCTATAAAGGGCCCCAAAAATTACTAGTGTAAAACCATTCAAACGGGAAAACCAACGGTCTAATTTATATAAACAACGAGAAACGAGAAACACTTATGAACCACATCCCCCTTTATAACTATATGATATGCAAGCAGGGGTATCATCTGTGTCCACATGTGGACACTATCCACATTTATTTATTTAATAATTTATTATAAAATTGTAAATGGCTATTTGATACTATAGTGTTATTAAATGAGTGTTTTCATTTTATTCCTGTATTATGTTCAAATACAGTTGTATTATGGTCAATGACAAGACCCAATACGACTGTACCAGAACATAATAGAGAATTTATAAAAAAACACCCAATTTATGACACCTTTACTTAATAACCAATGACTTAAAATAACCACCATAGCTGATCAAGGACAAAGAGGACAAATATGACTGTAAGAAAACTTTTTACAGGATCAATATGAACCACTGTAAATTCAGAAATTATTATTGCATGCATTTATTATTGCGATTTTTGAATCCAGAACAAAACTGCGAGATTAATTTTTGTGATATCAGGAAAATATACATAAAGTTATATGTATCAGATATCAGATGCAAGTTCTTATTATTGAGAATCTCACCCAGTCAAATTATTTGCATTAATAAAAACCTCACAATAATTACTGAATTTACAGTTATATGGTAATTTTCATTTAAATGTAAGGAATGTCAAATAACACTTAAAATTAATAATGTGCATTGAATTACCCTTTTATTCAGGGGTAAGTAACACTTTTAGCCTCTTGATTTTTACATGAGGTATTTCCCATCTAAATGATGTCACTGACATTTGTAAACAAAATTCCAATGGCCAGGTTAGAACTCTGTGGAGTGAAGAAGAAACAAGTATTTTAAACTCATGTGGTGCAGATGATAGCTTTCACAAATGGCCCTTTTCAGGGCCATCAATATTTCACAGAAAGAGTCTTCCTTTGCTGTACATATGAGACATTTTAAGACAAAAATAACTCTCTGACATATTAAGTGTTTTGACAATTTGTTACCACAGTAAGACACCTGCAAGAGCTTAATTAACAGGTATTAGACCTATATTAATAACCAGTTCTCAGACACATGGAATTGTATCCCATGAACACTTTATAAGGTATTTTAAGTCATTGATTGATAAAGATACATATAAAGATGTCTAAGCATTTTTTTTTGTGAATAATACAAAGTAGACTAGAAAGATATTTACTGCAATAATATATTGAAGTGATGTTGGCAAATACTGTCCCAAGTAAAACATTTACTGCACAAACTAAAAAAGTCCCATATTTATGTTTTTTGTGCATCATCATTTTTGTTAAAGTATGAAAAATGAACTTTGAAAGAGTCTGTAATTGTACTAGTGTAGTTAAGATGACATCTTGAAAATGAGCCCATTAAGATATATTTGACTATATTTATGATAGATAAATAGATAAATTATTGAGTTTCCTTTTTCATATTTTATACTAATTGTTTCATTTGATTTTCATCAGAATTAAGAGCAGCAGAAGAAGCAGAGCGACTAAGAAAACAAAAAGAAGAAGAAGGTAATACATAATACTTTGTACAGTTTTAATACATAATACTTTGTACAGTTTTACCTTTATTCATTGTTCTCTTAGGAAGTTGTATCTCATCACTACAGTGCTCGCCTGTTATACCCTTATGGCTATACATCGATTTCTTTGGCAAAGTAGGCTTATCATTAATAAGACTGCAGGACATATACTCTCTAAAATCTTCTAGATTTCAAATAAAAGAAAAATGAATAATCTGGAATTGTAGGAGAAGGTATGATAAGTCCACCTTTGTTACCCCTAGAATTCTGTAATCACAAAACCTATTATTTTCTAAGAAAACATGTCAATTAATGGCATGTTTTTGACTTAAAAGTGATATGTAAATAAACATTTTTAAAATTAAATGAAATTAACATGATATTGAAAGGATTATTTCAGGCACCAAAAAATGTATACATCCTTTTTTAGGAAATTTCAATGAGATTTCTCTTCAAATTAATAGTTTTGTCTTGCCTACATACCTGATTACACACCAATTCTAGGCAGGAGACTTTCTCTTTGCCTTTAATGATTTGAAATCTCACTTTTTTTACCTGTCACCTGTGTAAATAGGGGTAATACCATCATTTTCCCCCTATTAGTCTTTGTTTAATTGGCATTTTTCAAAAAATTATGCAGAATTGACCTCCGTTTCAAAAAAAAATAAAATACTTGGCATGAATGATGTTTTGACCTGTCCAGTACTACTTTGAAATTTTCACACACTGTTTCAATACATATAAGAAAGAAAGCTTCCTTGAAAGAAAGCAAGGCAATATCTCACCTCCTTTATTTGTGTAGGTTACGGCATGTTTCAAAAATATTTTTTAGGAACACAAAAACAAAAAAAAAGGTGCCTTAAAGCACCCAAGATATTTGTTTATGACTCGGGAAATGCAGGGTTAATTTCCTACAACTGTAAAGTTCAAGGGGATTATTGTTGTCCTGTTTTAACGTGATCTGGATGTTTTGGTGGGATTTCACCTGTTAGTGAGATTTAATAGAATCACCACCTTTGATGTAGATTGTTTTAAATTTTCATGCACCTGTACCAAATTGACTGATTTGCGCTATTTACCTATAAAAGTAAACCTGTAATCTTAATGAGTTGTAATAATAACGCAAATTTAAGAATGGGTCATTTGGATTCTCAAAGGAACATAAAAAGTGTACATGTGAAGTAGTAAAATGGATACATAATTTTTTTGCGAGATGTTTATTCCAGAAGAAGATGTTGAAGATTCTTTTGTTGATATGTGTTATATTATCTAATATGCCTAAAGCTTCACAATAATCAATAGGTGTTTCCAAATTTGCAATGTATCTAACAGAACTTACATAACTGTTGACTCTCAGTTTCAACCATTCTATTGGCTGAGGCCATTACACAGTAAACATGCAACAAATACTTCAGAATCATTTTATTCTGACTATAACAATTTTGAACTGTTTCACCTTAACTCATCTTATAATTTTTTTAAAGAGTATCCTGGAAGAGCAATATGTCAACTGCATCAAAATAAGACATATTGATGAGCTGGTGCCTTATAAATAAGAAGATGTGGCATGAGTGCCAATGAGACAACTCTCCATCCAAGTCACAATGTATAAAAAGTTAACAATTATAGGTTAAAGTATGGACTTCAACACTAAGCCTTGACTCACACTGAACAGCAAGCTATAAAGGGCCCCAAAATGACTAGTGTAAAACAATTCAAACAGGAAAACCAACGGTCAAAATAAAAATAAATAAATTAGAAAACTTAATTCAATTCAAAGATGTGGAATAAATACCAGTTAGCACATATTATGCTTTCAAAATTTGTTTAAACTTTGCCTAAACAGACCTGCAATGTCCTATATGTTTTTAAACCTTTAATTTTTAGCTGTATATAAAAATAAATGTTGGCGGTAAATTGTGACTTTTAAACTTTAAACAATATGACTTAAACTTTGCCAGTTCAAACCTGTTGGTCCCATTAAGTCCCCAACACCAAAGCTCATAGGTTATGTTGAGAAAGTGAACTGTCCTTAAAATTGAAGTGCAGATGTCCATTAAAAAAAGCGCTCATGTCCTATAAAAATTCGTAAGGGTTCCTCTGAAACCCAGTGTCTCGCCTACTTTTGCTGTTAATCGCAGGCTCAACAAAAATGAGATGAGGAAAAAATTTAATAAAAATATTCCTCTCGATACAATTTTTTTATTGTAAGAAGCTTCTGTCCAAGTTTGGTAAAAATCCATGATAGTTTATGAATCTAATAAATGTTTTAAAAAATTTAACTGCAGACTGTATGTAATGTTAACTGGAAGAAAAACTAAGTCCATTTATAAGTTAAATATGGATAAACAAGTACAAAATTTTAATAAAAATTTCCTTCTAGATACTAGCTTTTGATCATAAACAAACTTCTGTCCATGTTTGGTACAAATCCAGGATAGTTTAAGAAAGTTATTAAAATTTTAAAAACTTTAACCACAGAGTGAATGTAATGTTTCCTGGCAGAAAAACTAAGTCCATTTATAAGTAAAATACGGAAAAACAGGAATTTTTTTTTTTAAATTTACTTCTGGATACTATCTTATGATCATAAACAAGCTTCTGTTCAAGTTTGGTAGAAATCCAGGATAGTTTGAGAAAGTTATTAAAATTTTAAAAACTTTAACCACAGAGTGAATGTAATGTTTCCTGGCAGAAAAACTAAGTCTATTTATAAGTAAAATACGGCAAAACAGGAATTTTTTTTTTACAAAATTTACTTCTGGATACTATCTTGTGATCATAAACAAGCTTCTGTTCAAGTTTGGTAGAAATCCAGGATAGTTTAAGAAAGTTATTAAAATTTCAAAAACTTTAACCACAGAGTGAATATTTGTGGCCGCCCCCGCCGACGACAATGACACCGACGGAATGTAGGATAGTTATGTCTCGCTTTTTCGACAATAGTCGAAGGCTCGACAAAAATGCACAAATGTCCCACAGATAGTAAATAGGCACCCAAGGTAATCAAGAATGTCGTTTTAACTAATTAAATCCATGTATGAATAATTAATTTTTATGTTTGTGCTGAAATACTAAAATACTCTTTATACAAAATTTGAATGAAAAAAGAAAGTCACACATAATCCACTAGTGATAAGTCAATGATATTTGGTATTGTATTAGAATTTGCACATATTCAGAACGATGACATGGTAATGTGAGATAAATATAAACCCTACTTTGTACTAGACAAGCACGCTTAGCCAGCTTTTTCACATGCTAGTTCACAAGGTAATTGTCCGCAGTAAGACATGTCACTCTTATGGGACACATTATTCTGACTCCGAGCCAACCATTCTTTGCTCTTACTCCTAAATGCCACATGCTTACTGAGAAGCAGCAAATTTCAATTTTCAAGTCTTTAGTTTGACCAGGCTGGTGATCAAACCCATGACCTCTCACACTTGAGGCAAGCACACTACCACTCTAGCACCGAGGTGGTCAGTGTAAATAAAAAAGTACTTATACAAGAATATTGATATTTGGTATGCTGTTGTATAAGCATCCCTGCAATATGAATTTTTAGATAGTTCAAATGATAATTTTTTTTTAAATTCATATTTGCAAAGATTTACTCAACTAGACCATTAATGTTTGATTTTTGTCGAGCCTTTGACTTTAGTCGAAAAAGTGAGACATAGCGATCCTATATCCGTCGGCGGCAGCGGCGCGTCCACAAATATTCACTCTGTGGTTAAAGTTTTTGAAATTTTAATAACTTTCTTAAACTATCCTGGATATCTACCAAACTTGGACAGAAGCTTGTTTATGATCATAAGATAGTATCCAGAAGTAAATTTTGTAAAAATAAAATTCCATTTTTTCCGTATTTTACTTATAAATGGACTTAGTTTTTCTGCCGGGAAATATAACATTCACTCTGTGGTTAAAGTTTTAAAAATTTTAATAACTTTCTTAAACTATCCTGGGTTTGTACCAAACTTGGACATAAGCTTGTTTATGATCAAATGCTAGTATCTAGAAGGAAATTTTGTTTTCTTCCAGTTAACATTACATTCAGTCTGCAGTTAAAGTTTTTAAACATTTATTAGATTCATAAACTATCCTGGATTTTTACCAAACTTGGACAGAAGCTTCTTACAATCAAAAGATAGTATCAAGAGGAATATTTTTATTGATTTACTTCCTCATTTTTGTTGAGCCTGCGATTAACAGAAAAAGTAGGCGAGACACTGGGTTCCGCGGAACCCTTATGAATTTTCTGATACTTAAAATCATGTATTTATTGATTTTTAAGCAAACATTACTAGTGTTTGCAGTCTGTTATATATGAGGGAAGTAAGGAAATAATGGGTTATTCTTTTCATTTGATAGACTTAGATTTTAAGATTTGAATTAATAAGATAGCACTGTATTTATGTTATACATAAAATTCTCAATTTTATGTCTTTGCTTCTATTTTTCTGTAATTTTCATCTTAAATTATCTGTTACAATTTTGTTTAACTTTTATAGATATTCTGCAATTCTGTCATTTTCATTACCGGTAGAACTGTAACAAAGCTTCTCGGAACTTTTAGATTCCTCTTTTAGTGCTCAAAGTAGAAATGCTTTACTTTCACATGTGTCTATTGTAAAAATTTAACATTGTTTTAGTTTTCAAATTGAATTAAGATTAAATGGTTCTGTTTGTCTGTTACCATAGAGATTGTCTTTCTTAAACTAGATTGAAATGAAATATTGTAAGATACTGACAATGATTTTAATCACATTCTTAGACCCCTAATTGTATTTAAATTAGAATTAGCATATTTTGACTTACATTGACAATAGCCAATTATTTTCATTTTTTTTTTAAATTAACAATAGGAAAAACTATTGTAATTAGGATCTATGAACTACATGGAAATTTAAATATAGAATAAGCTGACATTTGATTTATTTGTGCTTGTGGAGGAGTACTTTGGAGAAAAATGTCAAAATTCTTCTTCTGCCTAGAAATAAGTACTGATTCTGTTGAGTTCCATTTTGAAAGTTCACTTCTACTTTAATACTAGACCACATTTTAAGTGAGCTAAATACAAATCCAAAAGTAAGGTTTACTACTAGTATTTCAAAAAATTAAAGAAGCAAAGTCAGAAAATATCAGAAGATCAGTTGAAATGCTTTTTAACCTTTACATACAATTTGACTATTGATGTACTTTATAATAGAGCTCCTGAGAAAATTAGCTTTGTTAAGGAAAACAAGCATGGCCAGTAAGTATAGCTGTTTGATAGCATGAGCTGCATGGTGAATTGGGGGTTGTTTGAGTTGTTATCATAACAAATTATATCAATTTCATCTGAATTTATTTTAGGAAGGCCTGCGATATTGTCTAAGTCAGTTATATCGCATATATCGTATGAATACATTATTAATAAATCAATTCGTTATCTTTGTTAATACTTTTTCTACTAAATGAAGTAAAATGTTAAGAATAAAAAAAGGAAAACATTTATTTTATTTGCAAAAAAGCTATTTATTTATGACATATTTCCATGTCTTCTTTAAGTTAGATAATATATAGTTTGAATCTTTCAAAATGTTAAATTTTTTTCAGTAAACTTACATTTTGATTATTTTATTCTTTCTTCTAGCATTGCTACATGTATTTCTGCTAACCATCCATGACTCATACTCTAACAAGCACTCTGTAAGCATGGTGTTGTATTATTTATGTAGATTTAGGGTGAAGGCAGGTATTTGAGTGAATTACAGACTTTTGCTTTTAAGTTAAAACATTATCAAAACAGGTTGAATTAGTATCATTATTTTCACTTACTTTCAGATAAGTAAGAAGCATGCTTTTACTTGCCTGAAACTTTTTTTATTATGTGTTAATGTTGTGTTTTGTTTTTTATGACCAATACGACCCAGTTACTTGGGCATACAATGTACCCATGTCTGTCATTTCAACAATTTGAAATAAACAGTTGAAGAGACTTTTTGGTTAGGTTGGAGAAAACCCAGCTTATAGTATGGTAATCTCGGGCAGTTAGGGAAATGATGATAGCTAATTTGAGTAATCCAGTTTTTAACCCAGATCCCTGAAACTTCAAAGAAAGATTGCACACACATTGAAGTTGCACAACTGCTATTATTGAATTGTAAGAGGAATTTTTACATTTTTCAAAACTTGAGAACTTAGTCGATTGTAACAATTTTTGTTTTTAACTCAAATTTTTGGAACTCCACAGAAAGATTTACAAAAATGTGCAAACCAATAGACTATTTTTATATTACCAACTTTTTAGACTCTGGAGTAAGTATTTTTTAGACTGTTTACCTACTCTGCGGTAGGACATTCTGGTACTCAGTCAATTAAGAGCAACTTACAGATGTAAAATCAAGCTTACAATTGGTACGATTTAGGGGGGAAAAATATAGATAGTGAACCTATATAGGACATGGTTACAATTTTGATCAGATACAGCAGAATCTGTCATCACATATTCACAATTGTAATGATTGGCTTCCTAACTGTTGGGAGTGCTTGGTTGACCTCTTCAGATCATTCTTGATCCAAAGGACTCTGTTACGAATGTATACTATAACATTCAGAGGATGATGGGACATTCCAGATCATTGAGGATATAGTAATCCAACTTTTTCACTTTTTGTGTCATAGCACTGTCTAATCTCAAATGGGAGCAATGATCTGCATTAGGGAATTGCTTAAAGATTCCCCACATTTAACAATTAATGTATTTCCATATATTTCAATGTTCAATATAGACCATTCCACCTTGTTTAAGAAACATTTTGAGTCTTTGATCCTTTTTATGTAAATTTAAATTGAGCTGACTTTTTGGTTTGGATTAACATGTATATAATGTTGGCTTGAAAATCAAGTTCATGCTTCATTTTGTTTGACTTACAAAGAACTTCTGGTACATCCTTAGAAACTTAGAAAATATAAATATAATTAAATATAATAAATGTAATATCTAGTGTTTGATATCTTGTATTTTGATATTTTAGTCACCTATTATAATTGCAGGAGTTTCCTGACAAAAATCAAACAAATTATAGTTTTGTAGGAAATAGAAATTTTGATGAATTTCATTTGATGATGGATGATAAAATATGGATGGCTTTATAGCTCACTTGGGAAATATGAGTTATTGTCATCACTTGGCATCCATTGTTGATGGTCATCATTGTTGTTGTTGAATGTTTTAAACTTATGTAGTATACAGTTACAATGTTTAGTCTTTCTTTACTTTCAATAGAAAAATTTGGGAAATCAAAACTTTATTGCATATCTATACCTCATTGGGAACAGTAATATATTGGTATAGAACACCTACAAGACAAAGATAACCATGAGTTTCACTGACTATTACATTTCATAAACAGGCTGAATGACTGACCAAATTCAATATTCTCTGACTTTATTTGTAAGGTGCAGTGACTGTTAGGTCAGATATAAAAGACATATGGTGATCATGATAAAAAGGAATGCATAGCTTGGATCATTATGAATTTTCTCTAAACAAATCTGTTCGTTTCAGAAATGTACATTGTTCATTGTTTTCACAAATGATTTACATTTTTCCATATTATGTAACTTTTTAGAACTAGTTTTGGTAATAGGTTCATATGAATTTAACATTTCATTACTTAACAATACTTCAAACTGGGTTTAAGGACGAAATGAATTTTAGTGTTGATGAATTCTACCAGAAAGATAGTTTCCTGTATGTTGTATCTAAGATATTTTGATTGAATTTATTTCACTTTGTGGTTTTGTATGCATAATAATGCAGATTAAATTGAACACATATGCTCATATTTATAAATTCTATTAATTCTACCAGTGAACACACTGTCTTAAAAGCCTGTAGTTTCTGTTGCTCACTCTGAAAGTCATCTTACAACCACAGTTTTAATCTGAAAGTATATCTAACAGTGATCAAAGGTAATTTAAACTAGGGTAATTATAGACCTACTTTATGTGATTAAACTGGAGATATAAAGGAATAATATAATATGTCAATGATGTTGCCATAAATCTTTAGGCTAAAGTGCGATATGATAACAATTGTTTTTGCCTTGACAGGATTGTCAACAAGTGTGTTGGATTTTCAAGATTTACTGGAGAAATATTGTAAATTGTTTCATCTTAGTCCATTAGGTAAAATTTGCATCATATAACATTATATAATCAGATATGAAAGTAGATACATCTTTAAATATATATACATATATCTGATTTAGATTAGTGCTTGTAGAATAGTCTTTATTTTAAATTAAGTTGTCTCCCTTTGATTGAATGTACGAGGTAAAAGAATGTCACTCATATTTAAATGATAGTTTGAGAAGAAGTACAATTTGAAAAAAGTGTATTTACCTGATTGTCTTAACAGCAACAAATATTGCAGAATAAAAAACTTATAGAGGATATAATCCAACAACTGCAGTGGCAAAGAGGATATAATCCAACAACTGCAGTGGCAAATGCATAAACTTTTATAATTGAAAATAACACATTATAAATTTGTTGTGTCCAAATCTTTTTCTGGATTTACCTTCATAAAAAATACTCAAACCTCAAAAGATGAAAACCAACAGTACAATACTTGAAAATATAAATACATGTAGCTATATGATCAAAGTGTATCTAAAAAGAATAGCCAAATCCATCTAAGGTCACCTTTGCCTGATGGAGTTGGTTCCTTCTTTATGATTTCTAAATTTTTCTTTAAAAATATATAGCATTATATTCAGAAGATATAAGAGCTGGATACTGCTTATCTTGTATACAGATGTCTTATGGGCTGAAATTTCAATCTGACTTTGCCCGTTCATGACAGTTCAATAACTGAATTAAAATTATTTTTATCACATTATCTCTGACTGGATTAGACTAGAATGATTGCACATATATTGCAGTTGTTGATCTGCTATTATGGAGATGTTTGAGATTTTTTTCATATTTTTTCTGACTTTGGAAATCAGTTATTTATTTAGCAAAATTATGTGCATGTAACAAGTAATACAGATTATCTCTTTTTGATAGACTTTAAAAATGGGATAACATTTTGGTTTTTTTTCAACCACTTTCAGTTTTTTAGTTTAAAATTATGACTGATGTATGTTTTAAAGTTTTATGATTCAAACAGATTCATTATTTCTATAAGTAATGCTCAGTCAACTATACAGATATAGAGAATGGTTGTAACGGTTGCATGTCTGTTTGACAGGTTTGCTTGATCTTTCACCTTTCTGATTTTCATGGTTAAGAGATGATTAAATGTTGTTGTTGTGATGAGGTTAGTGTTTCTAATGCAATAATAAGTCAAATATATTTAGTATATAGAATTGTTGTAAGCACACCTCAGACATCATTTCCATTGTTTATTGATCAACATAACGTTTTTTTGTGATTGGATCATTTATTTTAGTTTGAACACAGCAAGTAAACATTAGTACATTTATGAGTTCTAGCATGGAAAATATTTGAAAGATTACAAAAGTTTTATTTTAAAGAAGGTATAATGTTTTCATGCTTGTCAGTTCGGCATTAGTTAACTGCATTTAGTCTATAGAACCATTGTAAAGAGTACTTGTCGGTCTGACAGGGATGATCTGACCTTTTTATAGATCTATTACCAATGGTACGATTTTATGAAGGTTGTTTTTAGTTGTTATAAGTAAGAGGCTAAACTTAACCGATCTTCCTCATCATTGCAAGATATTCATGTCCATTTAATAAGGACATCGGACTTTAATCTGAATTGTATGGTTTAATGACCAGTTTTAAGTTTTTGTGGTACATCTATACAGCAAGACATTGATATCTACGTAGTTAGATCATGATATCAAAGACTTATAATAGATTATCAGTCATAATTAGATACACCTTGACAGGGCTAGCCGAATGAGTTTATCTAATTAACACCAAGATAATTATTGTCAATGCAGAATGATAGTTTTCAATAATTTAGGAGGGATCTTTCAGCAATTTGACCATACGTTAATTAACATGAAAAGCATGATAAATGTATGGTATCCAATTTCATTTAACGACATCTTGGTGTAAAGACAAGATATATCAGAATGACCAATCTTGTAATACTACTGTGAAGAAAAATGAAAAAACTGAACTCTCCCAGAAGTCTTCTCTTAGGTCATGACAACATATATATTCATAAAGATATCCAGCTATTTAGAAAAAAAAAATGGAGTGGTTAAATCTAACTATTTCTGAATAAAAGGAAATTTGGGGAACACTTCAACATGGCAGCAACCCATCAACACACAATAAATCTAGAAAATATATTAAGAGATCAACATAGGGTCTTCCACAATAGACTAAAGTTAATAACATATGTCAAGCTTTAATTCAAATGTAATCAGTCAATTTAGGTATATATTCAACATTTACTGCTAGGAACAACAAATTTTGGACAGGACAAAGATGATAATATATGACTGAAGATTGACTTTCAACAGGATTATTAACGTAATTGTGGTAAAGGAATAAACTGTTTCTGGGTGGAAAATGAACATTTTATCTTTTAAATGACAAAAACAAGTGATTTGAAAAAAATTATTGTAGATGGTAAGGAGGCCAATAGAGATTAAAATTTAGGAATATTTCTTTTATTCTATTCTTTTTAATTTGTGCCTTAAAATTCAAAGAATTTTGATTTGTCAAAAAATTAAAACCTTGATACAATGTACCTGTATCATCCAGTCTTTAAAAAATATGAAAGTGTAAAGAAAGATTGTTATATAGATGATGATGATTTATATGAAATTCCCTTCATAATAAATTCCAATAATCTCACGTGAAGTGACTTGTTTGATTTTCACTCTTGAGATTTTATCCGTCTGAGACCTGATTTTAGACTTCCAACTGAAGATTTTCGCCTTGGAACTTGAAAATAATTGATTGTGTGTGTCATATATCAACAATTAATAGTCTGTGTATAGATATAAGAAGATGTGGTATGAGTGCCAATGAGACAACTCTCCATCCAAGTCAAAATTTATAAAAGTAAACCATTATAGGTCAAAGTACGGTCTTCAAGTCTCTCACAGGCAAACAACCCATAATTGAAAAATATAAGGGCATACATCACAAGCAATGTGTGCATTTCAACCAACTTCAACCAACTTCGCAATTCACATCTTTGGCAATATCTGCATCAATCTTCTCAGTTAGTGACTATCTGCCATTTTGACAACTGTGTGCAATACACATATATTCATATGCCAAAAAAGTACAGTGAAATCAACAATTGATAAAGTGAATACAACTAACGCCGCTAACACAGAAAAGAGTTTTTATATTCTGTTTCTATAGAATTAAAAGTATAACAAATTGCCCAATTTGAATATAAAGATTAAGATCACTTGTAACTGAATGCCTCTACATATTAAACTCGTGCTACACACTCGTTTAATCCATGTGTCGTTCAGTCATGCGTTGTCATATTTTTTATATTCAAATAGGGCAATTAGTTATACTATAAGTATTCTCTATACTACAGACGACAGACACACAAATGACACCCTTTTCTGCCACTGACAGCACACCGACAACACCTTTTTGTACGCATGGCAGAAAAATAAAACTCGAACGCAAATTCAAATTTGCCGACAGCCCGTCGTACGTGATGGACGCCAGATATAATTGTATATAATATATAATCGTGACATATCATCAAATAAAGCATATAAATCAGTAATCAATTGGCATTTTCATTCACCAATCATATCATTATGTACAAAACACAGCAAAATATCAAAATATTGGCAGCTGTACGTTTAATAAATTACCCCTCATTGATAGCCAAGGCCGACCAGGAAAAACCGTATTACGGAAACCTGTATCCGAATCAATGCTCGAGCCTATCTCAGGATAATGACGTCGGACCTCGTCGGTTCAAACAGTTAACGAAAAACAAAAATATTTGTCTAACAATAGATATATAAACATCATTTAAAATAATGGAGTTTACTCGGTCAATACGACGGCTAGAAGTGAAGTTACCACACAAAAAAAACACCTTATATATGACCACAACTCAGCCCCCTGATTGGATAGATGTACATCGGCCTACCGAAAATTAACGATTCCATACCGAGAATACAACATTTTCCCGCTATACTGATCGAAACGCGGGAAAATATTAGTATTCTCTATACTACAGACGACAGACACACAAATGACACCCTTTTCTGCCACTGACAGCACACCGACAACACCTTTTTGTACGCATGGCAGAAAAATAAAACTCAAACGCAAATTCAAATTTGCCGACAGCCCGTCGTACGTGATAGAAAATCAAAGAAAGGGGTAATCTATAGGCCTAATACCTTAGATATCTTCAAACGTTTCTCAGTGGAATCTACTATGTAACCGTCTTTACTGGAGTCATACCTCCATCTGCCGTGCTTCTTTAAGCATCTGTCACTAACATCAGCGTTAGCCGCCATCGTGGCCCCACCGGATCTGAATGAATGAAGACCTATGTTTCCCTCTGGACAAATTGTCCGGATTCTCTTAAGAATTGACTCTCTAGCCGCCGTGTAACTTAGTTTTTTATCTTTTGTAATGAGCTTGCATGTATTACGAGATCTATAAATAGGCCGAAACAAATAAAAGTTTTGCTGACCAGAATCACCAAAACCTGCTAACCTAGTGTATCTTATAAACATTGTGTAAGGACAAGCAGATGAAACACCCCTAGAAATCAAGACTTCAGAACTTTGTCTATATTGGTCGGTTTTACTTTTTTGAATACACAAAATTAAATGAGACTCGTGTACTTTAACATCACAAAAACGTAAGGAACTGACCTCATCATATCTGAGAAATCCTGAAAAACTCAAAATCATCATTGCCAAATCCCTTATAACAAGTAAATCTGAAGAATCTTTAAACATGTCACAAAGTTCAATTAAAGTTTCAGGAGTAATTGGATCTTTCTTTTCTGTCTTTTTTGATGCTACTCTTTTAGAAGCTTCAAGAATCGATGTTACGAAAGTGTTTGTTGTAGGATCGTTTAGATCATTTATCTCATGTGCCCATTTAATACCATAAACTGCGTTAGAAACAGGGTGACAAGTTGAATTATTGTTCAATAAATGTGTTAAATACAGTGCAACATGAATTGGCTGAGC